TGTGTGTGTGTATGTMTGTGTGTATGTCTGTGTGTGTATGTGTGTAGTGATCCCTTTCCCTTTTGCTACTATCCATTAACTTTTTTTGTGGGTATTATTATTGCTATATGGCCTCAATTCTTGTCGACACAAATTTTGTTTCACAACATCAACAACAACACCAACAAAAAAACTCAAACCATAACTAATAGTTGTGACAAATTGTTGTTTCATTTTTTTGCTGTTAGTTTTTTAATAAATGATTGGTTAAAATGTATATATATTAAAAGTAATTTTGTTGCAAACACTAAACATGAATCAACTTTTCCTCTATCATATGATTTTCAATATATATATCTAATGATAAATCTTTAGTTAAGAAAATTAAAAATATTGATTAAAAAAARTTAATTCTAATATCTTATGTAATAATATTGTACTAAATTAACAATTTTAGTAAAACATACATTAATACTGTATTTATTAAGAGTACTTTTATTTACTTTATAGTATTTTATACTATTATAATAATAACTAACGATTATCTATTATTTACATGTGAATTATAAAACAAACACAATAATTATAATTGTGAAAAAACAGAAATTCAAAAAAATAAGTATAACTTATTTTAACAAAACAAACAATGATTGTATAACAATATCATAGATTATTAATAACATTGTAATAGCAATTAATTAGCATAATAGCTTCATAAGTAAACTAACAATATTTTTTAAAAACTCAAAATAAATATAATAGGTTTTGTGTCGCTATTGTTGAAAGCAATTATATAAAAAAAGTAATATAAATATAAAGTGAAAAACCTAATCAAAATAATACATACATACAGTACATACATATACTCATAAATAATGTTAATCTTCTTAAACCCCATAGAGTACTGCTATCATTGACTACTAGTTTTAATGTACAATACTATCGACAAAAAAAAGTGTATATAATATGAACTCAAATTACAGTAATGTTATTAAAATTATTATTAAAAATCCCAAATCACACTCAAAATACATTACACTCACACATACACACAATAAGTTTTAATGTACGCCTCAAATGATACTTTCCAGCATTACTTACTAATATAATACAAAACTACAGTAAATTTATATACAGTGTATATAAATCTTATACAGTATTTTGCAATACAAGCGGTTTTAGAAATCTTATTAATGTTATTAATGAAAAGTTATTAATGTTATTATTATTATTATTATTTTTTTAGCTATAATTTTTCTAACTTTTTCTTTCCGCAATTTTAAAAAAAMTTATATCATTTGTTAAGATTTAGTGTATATGAAAAAATAAATGTAATTTTAATTTTTTTGGTTTAACATTAGAAAAATAAAAATATAGTAATTTTATATAAAAATTCAATCTAATTAAATATATCAAATTTTTTTTTATTATTTAATCATATTTTATTGTAGCGGGATTTTTATTTTYATCAGATATTGTTTTGTTTTCACTTAGTATATACAGTATATACTGTACTTATAGATTACACATATGTGTAGATATAGTAGGTGTTAAAAATTGATTTTCAACTTTTCTCAAAATTGTTGCTTTAAAATCTGATAATATTTTTAAGTTTCAATTTATTGTTCAATTTTTCATGTGTCTCACAGTGTGTGTGTGTGTGTGTTATTTGCTTGACTTGTCTAATATAAACCTATCTGTGCAATGCATTTATCTCTATAATCGACTCCTCCCTAACATATTATCTCCATTTCCATCAAACAAATAATAAGCGACAGTTGAAAAACAACATATAAGTAAAGCCATATAATATAAGTAAAGATTGTGATTGTTTTGCTCAACCATTTCACTCGAGATTACACCGTTTGCTCTCATATTTACACAGAAAAAACATTCAAACATTTCATATAATTTACGTTAACTCTCATCGCTGACTAAATTGAGTACTCATTTGTTAGGCATTGAGTTGATTGCACTTTCAACCCATTCATTCATTTACTTTATATATATATTTATTTATTATGCTATCATTTGCTCTCTTAGTGTTTTCTCTATGTATATCTCCCGGTGCTCTCTCAYTCACTCCACTCTCATTGAAACACTTATTCCTAGAAATAATTTTCATTAGTAATGAAAGAAACTGTAAGTCAATAAAAATAAATGCAATGCACTGAATGTAAAAAATACAATAATATAATATTACTACAGAATATATACTGTATAACATTACTATGGGTTTTGAGATAATTTTGAAATGTTATTAATGAAAAAAAGTCTAAGTAATAGTCATTTTTCTAAATATTTACTGTATTGATATAGTAATAAAAATATAAATTATCCTCTTTTTATAAATGCTAGCTTTAAATACTGTATAATCAATATTAATTTATTTTATTAGTAAAAAAATTATATTTTTGTTTAATTATATGAAAACTTATATAAAATAAGTAAAAAGTAATATAAAATGACAAATARTATTAAAAAAGTTTTTTATGTTTTTAGATAACTAATGATTCATAAGATATTGGATTATACTTTATATATAATATATGAGAATATATGATATATAATATGATTATTGTCTCATTTTATTTATACATTTGAAGGGCCGACAGTTTAACTCGCAGAGAGACTATTAATTTAGTTATATATCGATATATGGAAAGAAATGAAATAAAAATTTATTTTTAAAATTAAATGCATTTGTGGCAGCAAAACGAAAATGCAATATATCTGGCGTTAAGTGCTTTTCCGTAATATGTGGGGACAGTTAGGATGTATACAGTTATATATTGTTATGAAAAGTAATAAGAGTAAGAGTGTGTGTATATGTATATGTACTGATAGAAAGACTGCATAGGGCCGGGGGCGCAGACACCACACAAAATGCCAATAAAGTGATTAGTTGTGCTGTGAATGGTGTGACCAGTGATTGTATGTATAATAACTATAACAATAGTGTTCAGTAAAAATAAGTGTAATATTAACCGACAAAAGTATTTTCACTATCACTGAGAAGCAATAAGAGAGAGAGAGAGAGAGAGAGAGAGAGAGAGAGAGAGAGAGAGAGAGAGAGAGAGAGAGAGAGAAGAGAGAGAGAGAGAGAGAGAGAGGTGCGTTTATAATAGTAACAAAAAAATCCTATTCAATAAACAATTGTAAAGTGCATATAACAGTGACATTGGCATCGGTAGGGAAAGTGAGTGAGAAAAAGGAAAGAGAAACAGTTAGTCAAAGGGCATACCTAAAGGCACACCACTGGCAACAACACAACAGTACAGCACTTACAGTGACATTCAATAGTGACTTCGTGTGCAATGTTACTCATATCATATATTAATATAGATTTTTAGCCAACCTTTTTCTATATTATATTATCAGGTCGTGTTTTGAATTACATATTGTAAGAAAAATGCTCTCTCTCTCTCTCTCTCTCTCTCTCTTTCGTCTAATAACAAAAATACGTGTCAGTAATTTTTAACTATACTCTCTATTTCTAACACAACAAACTATATCTCCCTTTCCATTAGTTGCCATCCCTTGCAGTCTTCAACTTTAATATACAGTGTCTTAATATTTGTGGTATCGCTTCGAGTATTTCTTGGTTTTCTTTATAATAAATTTTCCTTTTCCTCTCTAACTCTCACTTACTCTACCGTTCCCTTGGCTAACGCTTAGCACTAATACAGTTCACATACCGGTGCCAAACAATTTCTATTATTTTTTATTTTACTGTTCACTGGAGCTGATAAAACAGTCTAATAACTCTTGTGATACACTCTATAAACATATACATAAATATATAGATACACACTTATATACTAGTATTTGTGTAATATAGTAAATAATTTCAAATTACTATTTGTAAACCCCCAGCCCCTAAAAAATGATACTCTATTTCGACTATCAATTTTACCTAAACATAGCACTGGTATGCCTATCACATACATATAGCTATCTCCCCGGTGCTCTCCAATAGAAATAATGATTAGAGCACTCAAAATGATAACTTATGGGTTGTAAAATATTTATGAATTTGTATATTTATAAGAGATTATGATATAATAATAATAATATTATTATTATTAGAGTATAAGCAAAAAAAAGTTAGAGTGAGACTACAAAACAATCTTAACAACAATTGATTTTTGATGTAACGATTCTCTACACCAATTTTATAACCGTATATCACATACACACCAATAATCTACTTGTCCTTTAAATATATGACTTTCCAAAAGTGAACAAAATATMATTACACCTAAATATTGATGAAACAAATTTTCTATGTGTGTGTGTGTGTGTGTGTTTGTAGGGGGGATAATGTCATTTATTTTACCGGTTTAATCATTAATATAGGCGATAGATAGACTTACAGTTTAATATAAAACAAAATGTTATGCTATGCTCTGATATAATATCAGAGCTGAAAAAAATGATTTATTTTTAATGAAATGATGTATCAGTCAGTCAATGATTGCATGCATTCAGTTATGGTGTGTGCAGTAATTATATTTAATATAAAGTGAAATGTACTGTACTGTACATACTGTGTATCTAAATTCATATATAAATTATATATCATATTAAAGTTTAATGATTTTTGAAGCTTTAATGCAAAATTTATTATATATTTTATAGTATAAAATTTAATGATATTTCAGTAAAAAATCTATTTTTTATTATCATAAAGTTTGCAAAACTATTAGATAATAATAAACTATTCTGTCATTTACTAATAATTTTATGAAATTTTTTTTCTTTAAAAAATCATAATAATAATCATAAATATTATTTTCAATAATGAGTATCAAATAATTTTAATAATAATAATGCCTTTAGATGTATTAAATTATATAAATGTGTTTTTATATATAATAAGCAAAAAAAAGTTTATCATAAAAAATCACGCTTTATTAAAAAAATAGTTTTTTTTATAAATAATTTAATTTCGTATTTCTTTTATATTTTGCAGATAACTCAAGAAATTCTTTATTAAATACTGTATATTCAAAATTCACATCACATTTACTACAATATTACGATAATTATATAAAGCATTGGGTTTTATGTTTAAATTTCTTATAAAAACTCTCTATTGAAGTCAAATCAACAAAAAAATCTAGTATTTTAAGGGTAAGATATATACTGTATATTTAATATATAATTCAATTGTTCAGAAATATTTCTAATATTTTTATAACACAGTTGCTTAATATTATAGACAATAACTACAGTATATACATGTATTAATTTATATACTGTATATTTATATATGATATGATAAAATACTGTAGTATACAATATAGTACTCAAAATGTATGACCTGTTATGTTATCTCTTATGGTTAACTTAATGCTTACTTAATGTACACATCACACATAAAAATTTAGGCACTTTAGTTAAATAAAAAAATATTAACAAATAATAAAATATAATTTACTATATGTTTAGGAATTTCTGGATTTTTATGATATTACTTAGAAAGAAAGARAGAGAGAGAGAGAGAGAGAGAGAGAGATAATAAGACTAAATATTTCTATACATTTATTAATATGATTAGAGCTAATCATCAAAAATTAGAGAAATAGATGTCATCAAATTTTATATCTAAACTATTTATTAATATATTATATACAGCTATATATAAATTCTATATTATATAAGTGAGCAAAAATCAAATTTAACTCTAATATTATATCATCTAATGTAATATTATTACTTATTTTTGCTTTACTAATGTTTTATACCTTATTTATGTACTTTTCTCATAAATGATGCCATCATATAATGTGATTGAGTTTTTATAAGATGTCATTATTAGTGTATTTTGATACAAAAATTTAATATCACTCACAAATATAAAAGAAATTTTTTCTATTATTTTTTTTATTATTATTATAGATAATTTAAAACATGTACAAGACTTATGTTTATTACAATTTTGTTATTATTACATATTGTTTTTATGTAATAATATAATAAAAAATATAGTAAATTAATTATTTTTTAGAATTGATCTTTATAATTTTATTTTTAGATAATTTTTTAATTTAACTCATACAATATACTGTATATATATAATATTGTAAATTTAGATTATTTAATATACAAAATATGCTAATTTTATATTTGCAATAATATTAAAATTATTATACATTTGTCATTAAAATATGTTTTTCTTTATCTATTACTATTGAAAAGGAAATTAATTTCACACATCATTTATACTGTTGTTAGCAAAAATGCCTCTCAAAATAATTTATATAATTTTTAGATTAAAATAATTTATATGTTAAAAGTAGTATTAATGTATAAAAATGCTGTTATTTTAACCCAAATCTAAAATAATTTTCTTGTATAATATTAACAAAAGGATAATTGAAAAAGTATTTTTGTTAAATATAAATATATATTTAATAATTTCACGCCTCATATAATCACAACAAATGGCATTAAAAATTGTTAAGAAATTAATCTTTTGTGTTAACATAAGATTATTATTATTGAAATGCATAATACAAACAATAATTAAAATAATGCTAAAAATTCCTTTTTTTAAATATATTTATGAAAATTTGTGTTTATTTTTATTAATATATAAATATTATATGAATTTTATATTATTAAAAAATCTAATTATAAGACATAATTAATAGTATAAATTTAAAATCATTAATGATTAAATTGAAATATAATATATTCATACAATAAATGTTAATAATTAATAGCTAAAAGTTGATTACCAAAATTAAATTAGGTCACAAAATTAGCTAATAATAATAATATGAGAAACACTTTTTATATAATAAATTTTTTAATCAGCAATTCATTTACTTATTTGATTTGAGAAACAATTAAGAGTAAAATCTCTAATTAAAGCCAGCGATAGGATAATGAATGGTACAGTAAAAGTGTTTGCCATGTATTTTACTCATCAAGTTTTCAATTAAATAATACTAAAAATAGTTTTAATGTATTTTAACATATATCTACTCATTTGACTATATATCTGATAGACGAGAATTTAATTAATGTCACCGYTATGTTGAAGTCAATATATCGTACAATATATACATAGATATACATATAATATAACATATACTCTATATATATATATATATTTATAATATATATATAATATTACWGAAGGCATTGTCTATATTTATACATTTACTACAGCAATACTTTACATATAAATTAATTTTTGTTGTGTATGTTTGTGTGTGTGTTTATAATGTATTGTCGGTTTTGTTTTTCTATTGATTTATGTCTTGTCGTATGAAAATAAGTAATATATAGTCTAATAGCATATGAAAAGACTGTGAGATTGAGATATATATATATATATATATATATATAAAATTGTTTTTGAATGCTATCAATAGATCACAACAACATATATATATATATTATAAGAATATTCTTGAGTTATTCCACAAGAACTTCAATTTAACTCTATTATAGAGGGTTTGTGTGTCTGTCTGTGTATGTGTGCACTCATGTTATGATTCTTTGATAGAAATAGTAGTTTACTGGCACTAGTAGTATGCGATTCACTAGATTTAGGGGTCTATTATCCCAGTTTTACTTCTGTCTSTCTCTCTCTCTCTCTCTCTCTCTCTCTCTTTCTCTTTTCAATACCATTGCCATCAATAGTCATTTAAATGGTTTTTACGAATAGATAAATGGAAAATAAGACTGAAGTGAATGGCGAGTTAAGAATGAAGAGCTGATCCAATGTCTGAATAATATTCAGACAAATGAATGAATATATTCAATGAAAACCAATTCATGCATCCGTTCAATGGCTTTATTTTTTCATGTTTTGCGTGATTTGCTTTTGAAGAGTAATATATTGCATATAATAAATAATATCCATATATTGCAATATAATGTATATTTAGTTTATATTATAATCTATTTTAATATTCAGTTTAGAGTTTATGAACAATTATTATCAATATATAAAACTTTATCTATTGATATAATTTCCTATAAAAATTGCAAAACATTTATATTAATACATCATTTATTATGAGATTTATTATATAATAGTGTCGTGTCGTTATCTATTGATATTTATGCTTTATTTGGTATAACTATCTAATATTATATAATAATTATTTTAAAATACATAATATAAATAATTAAATTTTTATTAGTTTATATTTTTCCATTCAAAAATACTATAAACTTATTATATTGTGCTAAATAAGTGCCATTTATTATTATTGAATATTATAAATAATAYATTTTTGGGGAATGATGTTCAATCTGAAAGATATATTTACACAATAAGTGTTTGTATGTGTGTGTMATTGTAAGGACATATCTAGAGATTATACTTTTAAAAAATATTGGATTCAATTCAGTACATACAGTATATACCGATATAAGTATATTAAATACTATATATATATATATACCGAAAAATGAGTTTTTCTTTTCTCAAATAACAACAATAATAACCCAAATGTCAATGAAATGTCTATTTTTTGTGTCCCTATTATTATATGGTGTGCCAAATGGTCAGACCTTTCCTGTTGTTGTCTTATTCTTTCTTATAGTTGTATTTCAAATATATATAACTTAGGATTCGTACGACACAATTGTAAGAATCCCTTATAAAACAGGAAGCGGTTGAAGATATATTGATTCTTCATCTCTCAGTCTTTCCATTTATTTCTGACTGCAAATACCATACAGTATATCGTTATATATATATATATAAGTATTATAGACGACACTCACACACACACCAGTGTATGGCAAACAAGAAAATCTTCCTAATATTATGTGTACGAAGAGCTGTATACCACTGCCTCTGACCGAGACTTTTGCTTTGATTGACTTATGCTTTGCTCAGAGATTATCACCAAATAATACTTTATCGCAGACACACTACCATTACTGCCATTACTACTACTACTACTATTTCTACTACTATTACTACTACTATCACTATTTACTGCTGCAAATGTCACACATATTATACAATATATGTTTGTGAGTATAATAATCAGATCTAAGAAGATATACTATTTGAGTGTTCAGTTGGGAAAATAAAGTGATTTTATATACAAGTATTAGTACTGTAAGAATCTATAAGACATGACACTACAGTAKACTTTCAATATTTACATACAATTTYTATTTTGGTGTCTAAACCAAACAATTTATTGACACTTTCATTATTATGTGACCCAATAGTTTGAGTGTCAAACCAAATACATTAAACTTTTACCTCACAAACAACAACAGTGTATGACTTTCCCTTTAATTTTCTTTCTATATATATATATATATAAACTGTTTATCTATAGTACTGTACTATTACACTGTATTTTATGATTTTAATCTGAAATACGTGTGTATCACTTCTAGTAGTTTATCTATTGCTATGTTTAAGTACCGAAAAACAGTGTATAGTTGCTATCAATACTAATAATAAAGTCTGTAWTGTATTGCATTGCATTGCCATAAGAAATTAATTATCAAACAAATGCATTCAATTTAAAGGGATTTATTTGCAAAATAACTAAATATATATAAAGCTTTCAATTTGTTATCAGATTTTTATTTTATTATAAAATTTTATAGTTTAATCAATAGCTTACAGGCATATCAGCGATAGCAGTAGTAGTCAGTCACTAATTTTGCTAAATAAAAATAACAAAAAAAACTAATAAAATTGTGATTATATGCTAATAAGTGCAAACTTAGTGTATAAACTAAAATGTGTAAATTATAGACATCTATTTTATTTAACAATGTTGTTTATAATAACTTTTTTTAAACTTCTATTTTTGCAAATTTAATTATTAATGTCTTTTTGTCAAATATTTAGTATATTTAAATTTTAAATGTTACCATGTAAATATTAATATTTAAACTTAATTAAGTTTGTTATTTTTGTTTGTTGTAATTTTTATTGTCACTTGAGATTTAAATATTATGAGAGAGAATATAGTAGTAGTAGTAGTAGTAGTAGTAGTAGTAGTAGTAGTAGTAGTAGTAGTAGTAGTAGTAGTAGTAGTAGTAGTAGTAGTAGTAGTAGTAGTAGTARTAGTARTAATAATAATAACAAAAAAATTTATGCCATTAAAATAAGAACATTTTATATAACATATGCATAAAAATATACTTTTTTAAAATAATATATATATTATTTTCTGTGAATAATTTGAAAGTTAAGACTTTGCAAAAATAAAGATTTTTTTTATTGTAACAAATTGTATGCTTAAAATACAAAAATAGATTCATTTTGTATAAGAAATCTTATTTAAGATAAAGAAATATGTTTTTTATATGTAATATATTATTTAAAGTTTAAAGTTTATGAATTCAACAAAAAAAATCAATAAACTTAAAGGTATTGTAAAAGCGTCTGTTATTTTACAACAATACCATAGTTTGTATTGTAATAATTTTTTTCACAAAAAAAGAGATTTTATGCATAGCTTAACACTAGCTTAACATTTATTCATCTGTGAGACACTTGGTATTTGTTAAACAGTGTCATTTCTATCCTCTTTATTGATGCAAATTTTTATATTAACGTAGATTTTTAAAAATAAAATATTGCATTACTATTAGTATTAGTATCAAACACACATACAAACACTTGCATATAAGACATGCCATTAATTTATATGTAAATGAAAAAAAATCTAATATATTATTTAAAAAAAATTATTAATTTATTGTCTAAACAATCTAAATAATCATTTAAATGTTTTTTTTTATAAATATTGCATCTATTATAGCATACCGATAATAATAATAATATTGAATAATTTAAGTCTATGYAAATTAACAATTGTTTATTTTTTTTGAAGTAAAGTTAATAATATTTATCTATTATTCTAGTTTTATATATATATATATTTAATATGTAAAAATTACAAGTATAAAAAACAAACAAATTATTACTAAAAACATTTCCCAAATGCATTGTTTGCTACGATTACTACCAATTGTATTCACTGTTTCAATATTATAACGATTCAACATTTTATGGTATAGTGTACTATGTATTGCATTTTGTTTGCTCGAAAAAAAACTTTATAGCTATCGATATTGTTTGCAATTATTATAATGTTTTATGTCGTGAACTAACAAAATTGACAAAAAATATATATTATATTTTATATATTTGGCTTATAGTGAGCTCGGGTCTCATTTATGTAAGTGCCATACAGTATATTAACCCGTTTTTTGTCATTTATTTGCACAATTAGTTTACACTAAGCAATTATATTAAAGTATTTTTATTATAATATAATATATTTTTCTATTATAATATTATATATAAAATACTTAATTATGTTTTTATATATTTTAAGTGAATTATAAAAACTACATAAATTAGATCACTGTTTTTTTAGTTTACTTCAGAAAAAAGTTTTTTTTATACAAATTTGAATTTATTTATTAATTTATAAAATAATTAAATATTTCAGCATTATATACATATTTTTATTATTTGATAATATATTAAAAATGTCATTTTTAAACGCAACTCATGTCTGAATGTAATTATTATTAAGTATTATAATAAAGTTACAATAAATAATAATAATGCTATTATAATAAATTTAATGGCAACAATAATTTCTTATTTTTGTTTTGTTTTGTTTCATATGTTGATAAATATGCAAATGGCATTAACACATACAAACAATGTAATACAAAAATGATTTTTTTCTTTTTAATGTTTATCCATACGTTAGATAACAATATGATGTATATATATTAAGTGCAATACATAATAATGTATAATTAGATTTTTTATTATGTTGTTTATATAATGTATATGAGATGATAGCTGATGAAGAAAGTTAGTCTCAATGACTTTGATGTATTGCTTGTATATACCATAGACTAATGTTGAACAACATTATTGACATTACCTGAAAGCCTCTCATATGACTTATATTTGTTGATATGATTATTACGATTATTTGTTTTTGTTGTGCCTTTATTTTGTTGTTGTTGTTGGTTCATCACAGTCCATAAGTTATCATATCATCTAATTTCTTTGTGTATATTTSTTATATGACTGACTTATTTCATACGATAATTCATAAATATTAGTCCACGAATTTATCTTAAGGTTATTTGTACTGTAATTCTAGACATTAGAGAATATTCTGTGTATATATCATATCTATCTCTCTCTTTCTTTCTCTTAGTATTCTTCATATATTTCTATATATTCATATCTCTTAGAGTTTATTTTTTTTTGTTTCTTTTATATCTATATTATATATAATATTTATAGTCAACGACAATACGATATAACTTACATAATATGACTCTTTTAATGCCATAAGGCATATGTATGTCATACCCCAAGAGTCATTTTACTATTTATGATGTATACTAAACTAAACTAAAACTTATTTTTTTGTACTAAAATATATTCACAAACATAATAATAATAATAATAATAATAATAATAATAATAATAATAATAATAATAATAATAATAATAATAATAATAATAATAATAATAATAATAATAATAATAATAATAATAATAATAATAATAATAATAATAATAATAATAATAATAATAATAATAATAATAATAATAATAATAATAATAATAATAATAATAATAATAATAATAATAATAATAATAATAATAATAATAATAATAATAATAATAATAATAATAATAATAATAATAATAATAATAATAATAATAATAATAATAATAATAATAATAATAATAATAATAATGTTAGATATAACAAACTACAAGGCACACATAATTTATACATATATTTACTTTATTTTATATGACATACTATTGTTTTATCTGTAAWATATATATTTTTTCGTTTGTTAGTTAAAATTAAAAWTTTKTATCTTTCATTCATTCATTGRCTATTGTTTTGTTACGTGAAATTTTTGCTGACAAATACAATATTATGAATATTATWTTTATGTTAACAAAATATAAATTTATCCATGTCCAATCTATGCATATTTGATAATTTTTGTYTTATAAATGTTAAAACAATAATTTATTTTTAAACATAATACAGTACATTRATATAYTGATATACTAATAATAATATTTAKTATAATTATAAACATTAAATATTATTTATTTTATGGTACTGTATATTAAATTTACATAAAGTAATAATATTATTATATATTTATTAAATTAAGATAGTAAAATATTTATAACTTTATTTAAATAAATAATTTATTTATTAATTAATAACAAATATTAAAATAATTATATAATATATTTTTTTGATAAGCTTAAAGCTGTTAAATTATTGTATAAACAAAATAATATAATATAAAACAAAAATGAATACATTTAATATTTAATATAATRTTTATTTTATATTACTATAAGTAATATAAGATTAAATATTTATGTTTACGWAAAATAAATAAAATAATATTTGCACTTTTGTAATGAATTTATAGTATTTGTTAATAAATAATGATAAATGATCTTAAATTTTTATCCTATTTTATTTTAAGTTTAWAGTTTGCAATTTAATTAAGTAATAAATTAAGTTAGATTTTTGGAATTTTTTGTCATAATTGAAAATTACAATATTAATTTAACTTAAAAATTTATTAATAAATTATCAAAAAATTATTTTTATATTATAAAAAGATTGCTCTATAATTTACATAAACTTTTCATTAAACTAATTGAAAATTTATTTAATGTAGAAATTAGATTTTGAAATAGCAATTAACGTTAGAACCATTAAAATATTTTAATCACAAAATTTGATTAATGAATATTTTGTTGTAAATGAAGATAAGCAACATTTTGAAGCAAAAAAAACTTTTTTCAGTTCATATATTTATATTTTAAAACTGATTCTCAATTTAAACAATTATTATGTGATAAATTGTAAACACATATATTGTAAGTTCCGTTAATGTTGTGTTTGAGAGAAATTTGTCGTAAATTTTCAACGTTTTATACAATATTTACACAAAACACATAATATAAGAGCCCTAAAGGATTGGATTGATTGGATGGACATAAATCAATGCACACACACACACACACACACACACACACAGAGAGAGAGAGAGAGAGAGAGAGAGAGAGAGAGAGAATACTATATAAATATACCATACAATAGGAAACTGTATGTCACTAAACATACAAACACATTGAATATATTTTGTTTAATTTAGAAACTATTAGTTGTTATATAACTTTTATATAAATTTAATTCACAGTGTTTTTCATACCAACAACTAGTTTTCAATTGTTATGTCTGGCTATTCATTAAAACTTATATTTATATTATAATTTTATATTTATATCAATCTATCTATTTATCTATTTATAGTGTGCGTCCATTTCCTCGTCGGCAAACATACATAAAGTTAGGCAAACATAGGGGTAAACGGCAAACAACACGTGACTCAGAGGAAAGAGATCTCTCCGCAAAAGCAATAACTTTGATGAAGCACTTCAAACAACACATCAGTGGCTCAGAGATCATCTCACAAGTATCGGTTCACTGACACTCCGGGAGCGCATAAATGAACTCATTGAGCCGTAAGGGACAGATAGGAGGACAGCTCCAGACTAGTTCACGGCTGAGAAGACAGCGGAGCAAAGAGTGGAGAGATTACAGTTCATCGGATAATGAGTACGACCATCACATACAGTCATATAAGCCGTCGCCCATCATCGGCACCACTGGTCTTCACAACATTGGCACTGGTGGTGGTGGCGGTGTTGTCGGTGGAGGTCATTATAGTTCGTCGGACAATGAGGACGAGCCCGCGTCACGCATACCGTCATACAAACAGTCRCCCATAATTGCCAACACTAGTCTACATAACGGGTCAGATACTGGTGGCGGCCATTATAGTGCCGGTTCCGATAGGGGTATGTATGGCTACCAGAAGCGACCGACGTATGACTATTCCTTACAACATCAATACGAAGAGCCGCGTATTGAGCCGCGGGTCGACTCATCGGTATTGGTGTCCAAATCGACTCGAGTGACGGTCAACAATACCAATACACTTAAGTCTAATTCACACATCTATACGAATCCATTTCCCAAAGTTAGTGAACCACAAAACACAGCATCTACTGGTACTACMGGTCCAATGATACCATTGCCCAATAACATACAGCCCTCTCAGGTATGAATTGTTTTCTAGTTTATCATTAAATAACTTTTCCCATAAATTCTATTAATTATGTTTATTATTAGTATTATATAATATATATATTATATCTTTAGTAGTAATAACCCTTTTATTAATGATAAGGAGTTAACTATTATATGAAGTATATTATCAACGATTTAGTGGCAAACGTGTTATCATAACTAATAGTTATACTAAACTATCATAAACTTCATATGATATTACTATATATTGTATAACACATACAGTACTAATAACCAGAAGTCTACGGTATTATTATTAGCAGAGAAAACATCAAAATCCTAATAATGTCTCTATTAATATAAAAGTCTATTCACTGATAATAATAATAATAATAATAATTTCTTATAGTTTATTATTAACATTGTTTTTGTCGCTATTATTATTATCTTTACAAACCAGTTAATGCAATACAGCTGTTCGGGTAACGGTGCGCCACCGACACTGTGTCCGCCTCAACAGTCCGGCTCACGACACGGTCCTCAGGCATTGATAGCCTTTGCCAACGAAAGATTCAATTTAGACAAAACCTGTTCCCATCGGTGCTCGTGGAGGTTCTCCACAATCATACTGACCATTGCCTGCTTAGTACTATTCGCTGTCGTCACATACCTTATGTGCGGTTAGTCTGATAACAAATTATTTTTTAATAAATRAAAAATACAATAATAATAATAAACAAGAAAACTATTTAATGAATTTATACACCAATTATTTTCGCACAAATTCTTTCAAAACATTTTCTAATTATATTTTATTTTTGTTTTTATTTTTCTTTTCTWTTTTTTYATTGTATTATTCATTAAACATCTAATTAATGATTTTGATTGGAAATTCTTAATCTCTTTCTCTTATTTTTATTAATGTAATGTTTAGTTCATTATTTTTGTAGTAATTTACAGAATATTCTTTATTTCATATTCATTAATCTAATGCTTTTTATAAAAAAATATTTTTTTCTACACATTAATTAGCGAGACATAAATTTTAATCTAATTTCTTCTCATTGAACTCTATGTTAATTACTGATATATATCTAATTTTTTAGCAATGAATTCATTAATAATCCCTCCCGAGAGCTCCAAAGTTCCCTGTATTGTGATGGAGGACATGGAGTCGTCAGCATCTATAGGTGCATCCATTGCCGGCAGCGAGTCTATCGGCACTACAATAGGTAATRCATTACTGTATTATGTTTTTTGACGGAAAACTAAAATTATTATTAGTATAAAAGTATCACAAATAATAATATTAAAAAAAAACTCAAAATAAAAACGATAATATAATTATACTTTTATGATTGTCTTTGAAAAATAGAAATCCTCTTTAGTATTGTGTTTATAAATTGTAATACAATTTTTTCCGTTTTATTTTTTTGATGTTAAAAACTAACTAAAATACTTACGTTTTTTGTCGCTTATTATTTTCAATGAACAATAATTTTATTAATTCTTAATAACTGTTAGACAAGTGAAAGACAGCGTAAAATTATTAGACAACAATAATAATAAYAAYAACAACACAATAATATTAGTCCAATAAGTAGTTGTATTAGGTTTTTAAAACTTTTTACGGTTCAATACTTTTTTACTAAAAAAAATATTATTATTTTTTTCATTATTATTCTCGTTAACTATAGTTTAATATATAAAATAAGTGTAATAAACTTCTCTCTCATTTTTTTACCAAATTCTTACTTTATATAAAAAATACTTTTACTTTTAGTTAACTTTTTTAAAAAAAATAAAATCTAAAAAAATATAATAAATGACAAAAATCTACACTTTTATAGAAGTGTAGAATTAAACTTTTCTTCAAAGAGAGTGAAAAAAAACAAAAATAAAAGTATTTTCAATTTAATCCTGAAATATATAATCAATTTATATATCCATATATAGCCATATATACACAATAAATAGTTATTCGTTTAGTAGCTTATAAGTAATGTAATTTTTTTAATACAAAATTAAAATATAAATAAAAATTTTAATTTAAAAAACTTATAAAAAAGAAAATTGCAAATCATTAGTTTAAATTTACATTTATGTCTCATCTGTAAAGATTAGGTAGAATTTATAAAATTAACTAAAGAATATTCTGTCTAATGGTTTTATGTATAATTTGTTTTTAATTAAAATTATTTGACAGTCACACCATCACAACAGCCAAACCAATGTCTAAAACTTATACCACGGGATCCGATAGAGTTTACCGAATTGAAGCTCGGTTTGGGTCCACTGACCATCACATTGGATGCACACGAGTCATACAGTTTGGTCTTTAATCAACCGGACGCTGTGTTTTTGCGATTCATATTTACAATACCGACGACCGCCCGATTGGCACTATTGGGCCGCAAAAATGAACCACCATCTCTCACAGCATACCATATGCTWGAGGTGATCAGTCAAGACAAGTCWCAAAAGCTGTACAAACGCGATGCACAGGTATGCAAAAAAWATTATTAACTGTACTGCAAAGTAAATGCAGACACAAACACAAAACARCAACAAAAAATKMTAATTTAATACTACATATATATATAAATATTTCAAGTATACTGTAATAACTTTGTTGCCAATGTTTTTTGTTGTTGATGTCATGAAACATAAGAGATATGACTATTGATTGTTATTTATATCTTCTTTAATCTACTACTTTCTCAACTCTCTATAAGAATATTCATGTTTTGTGTGTTTGCATAATATATAATAATAACAATAATAATAATAATAATAATAATAATAATAATAATAATAATAATAATAATAATAATAATAATAATAATAATAATAATAATAACGATAATAAATATTCATAAGTAGTTTCTGGAGAGTTGAGATAAATATTTTATAAAATATTATATTATATACAAAGTAGATATACTGTATTTTTAGACAAATATATATGACTATATCATARTGTAAAATACTTATAGGTAAATACAATAGATAATATTCTAAAAATACTTTTTATTATACATAATAATAAAAATACTAGTATTTAAAATAGTTTGAAAATTATTTAGTATATTAATATATATTAATTAAAAAACAAAAAGTTAATTAATATTTTCATAAAAAACCATATGAACTACAATATATTATATATTTGCATTTACTCATCACTACATACAGTATTATWATTGAACAGTTAATTATAAAGTAATTAAATGTATTGCCTGACAACCAAAACAAAAAATAATTTCTCATTAATCACTTTGTCATTATAGCCATCAGCTGACGTGGAGCTGTTACAATATTTTGAGCCCGGTGCCTGGTATCTAACCATCATCAACGATATTGACGAYACCGTCCCACTGGTATTCACTGCYAATATAGCCAGTAAGTTGTCTAACTATATATATATTATTAGTTAGTATAGTATATATATATTACTTTCTAATCATTATCATCATTAACTATCCAAAACCGATAACTCAATGCACACTCAAAATAGTACTGTATATGTGTTAACCTAACCTTCCTTTTTTCCATAGCCTTAATACCATTGAAAATGCATTTTGAATTTATRTGTGACATTCAATTACATTTACTTRACATAAAAAATTACTATTACAAAAAGTAATTACCATAAAATGATTTTTAAATACCAATTCCTATTTAATTCAAAATTACAGAATATTTTCCATATTTATTAAATAGTTAAATATAATTATCGTTACTAATCAAAATAAATGTTGTATAGCTAAGTAAAAATTATAAATAATTTTATAAAAAATATCATTTATCACACATAATAATTTAATAATTTTTCAAATAAAATAAATTATACTGTACATTATAAGTTATATTAGTTTAAAATATTTTATCTGGAAATAACATTTTATCTGGAAATTAATGATTTTGACTAAAATATTATTAACTAATTATATTATTAAATGTTAAATTTTATGCACTAATTTCTTTTGTTATAACAATTAATTACTTTCAAATAACTAACAAATCATTTATTTGCCGATTAATCTGATAAAGACATTTACAGATACTATTRTAGTAATCATTAGACAAAACTATCAATTAGGTATTACATTACCAAAAATTTTAGTATTAGTTTTATAGTTAAATGTCAAACAAATTGGTTTCTTATGTCAATTGCAGTCTATGAGTGCAAATTAACTTTTTTGTTTTGTTGGTGTAATTTAAAATAATTGGTATCTTAATCTACATTTGTGTTTAATATGAAATTACTAGTATTATAAATAGGGAAAATAGATTGAAACACTAGAAAATCAATTTATTATATCATTTACTATATATGTATGACATTATGTATGTATTTGGAAAACATCTCTCATCAATACATTTCAATTTTCAAGTCTAATTAGGCAATGATTTTCAAATTTATGGTGACATCCGATCATCATATCAGTTGATTTGCAATAATATATTGACATTTTTATCTCATAACACACTGTTTTATTGCCTTAACTATAAATTATATATATATTTATGACAAAACTAGTAACACATATTTTTTGTGGTGGGGGAGAGTGCTATGATTAGTAAGTAAAATCATATATATATAAAATACTACTGTATATCAGGAGCTCATGTATGCGATGATAAATTGTTTATAACATGTTGTCAACTTTGTTTGTTATGTGATTGTGTGTAGTAATGTTAAGCAAATAACTGGTTTTATGCTGATAGCGGTGGACACATACTCGTCCCCTCAAATGGTTGACATTATCACAAACATGTATATAATTTTAGGGGCCCTCATATAAGTAATAATTACATGCCATTTCTGGCCACTACATAATAATTGAATGGCTGTCCCTTTTTATATTATATGGTATGTATCACCCAATCAGTTAGTATTAGTAGTGCCCGCAAATTATTGGCGACAATAGATTATCCAACAAAAATAATTGTATACTATTTTTGCCACAAAACATACATTTTATTTTGTTAAATGATTGAATAATTGCTATAATTATCTTCTAAATTCATGGAAATCGCTTAACATATTAATTGTGACAAAATGGTAGGCTTTAGATGCAATACAATAAGAGAGAGAGAGAGAGAGAGAGAGAGAGAGAGAGAGAGAGAGAGAGAGAGAGAGAGAGAGAGAGAGAGAGAGAGAGAGAGAGAGAGAGAGAGAGAGAGAGAGAWAGAGAGAGAGAGARAGAGAGAGAGAGARAGAGAGAGAGGTTATTAGTGTAATAAATGTATTTTGCTTTCAAAGTGCTTGCCTTAACTTCAAATGTAAAACAATACAAATATATTATTTCATTTAATCTCACACTTTTGTAGCATCGATTGCATTGGGGAAATGCGGGGAAATGGATGCAAATTACTAGCCAAAAGTGGCGATACAGTTGTACAGTATATACTGTAATATGTGTTTAGTGTGTGTATGTATATATATTCATATACTAATTGATATTCACGTTACGTGTCTACCGTTAAAAATAGGGTTGTCTTTTATTGCACTTTTAGTTAGTGATAGTAGAGTTTTATGATTAGTCAAAATATATATTATTGCCACTTACGATAAAAGTAGTTATATTATAGTTATATATGGAGAAAAATAATTATTATTATTACTACAAACGGTATATTATATACACTCTATCTCTCACTACTAATGGACTTTTAGACTAACATTTTAGTTTCACATACAGTACACACCATATGCCAAATCAAACGTACCATTTCTCTTAATTGCGACCAAACTTTTTAGGTGACTATACCATAGTATACAGTATGTGTGAGTGTGTTGTTGGCAGCAAATGTTAACTACTAATAACAAATAGTTTTATTTTTCATCTATCAATCTCTTAATATGACTTACAAGCTGTGTGTATATGAGTTCGTTGAACATTATAGTTTAAAAGCCATATATATTGATATATCAATATATACTACTATAATATATTGTATTACCAGTTAGGATATATAAGATATATTAAATCACTTATTTTTCATTACAACTAACAGTTAAATGTAATATAAAGTTAAAATGCCATTACAATAAATGTCACATCAAATACACATGAATAGTACTGTATGTACGTATATATGTATGTGTTGTATATATTATGTTAAATAATTAATTTAATTGCTTTTAAAAATATAATTTTGCAACTTTTGTATCACAGGTTTTGTCATTTTTCTATGTAATAACAATTAAATGAAATTCATTATTCATACAAAATTTATATAATTTGATTTTCAAACATCAAAGTTCTCACAAATAGTATATATATATATTTAACTATTACAATAAATTCCTGTAACAAAACATTACCGTATGTCCCGAATATATTATAATTGATTTTCTCTATGTGTATGTATTAATTAGCAATCAGGAAGTGTATGCACACATAACAGTAGATTACATAAATAGCAGAATATTCTGTATTATGTATTTTTATACAATAAATATAAGTAATATATTTTGTTGTTTATTAATATTTATAAACATATACATATATGTTGTTTCTATACTGTATCTGATAAATTTTTGCTGTACTGTTCAAAAAATTTATTATAAATATAAACTTTTGGAAAAAACTAAATTTACAATTAGCAATATTTATAAATTATAATATTATTTCTATAATCTCAACATAACTATTACTAATTATTTTTGTTAGTAATTATAATTTTTAATCGCAAACATTTTCCTAAACCAKACCCATTGAAAATAATATACAGTTCATTAGTTAAGTCGAGTATATCTACAGTATATTAGTTTTGGACACATATAAAAGTTTGGCTTAACATTATCCTCAGCGCACAGTTAGCCATACCGTTAACGATGGGATCATTGACTTCACTCATTAGTTAATGTAAGACTAMWAATACTGTATAACATTGAATTGCAATTACAGTGTTATTAAACAAAGTATATAATATTACAGTACAATAAAAATAGTAAAACTTTTATTATGTGACTCATTCTTCCACTGGTTTTCTAACCATCAAAACACGTGTCCAACTGATGATAATAATCATTGATATTATATCCATCAACTAAATGAATCATTTGTTTGAAATTAAAACTATGTTTTTTTCAATTTGATTAATACTGTATTACATTTGTCAATGTTTTCTGTATTATTGTGTGATTGCAGAGGAAGTGCCGACTACCTGTCCAAACAATTGTCACAATCACGGCAACTGTCATCTCGGCAAATGCCAGTGCTTTCCAGGTTTGTCCATATATTCTAACTGTTAATAATAATTAATTATTTTCCTAACTAATTGACATTTCCTTGATTTATAGGCTATATTGGACACGACTGTGCCGACAGTAAGTATTAATTTCMATTTAAAACATTAATTATTATATTTGATTATTTCTATTGATCACTGATTTTTATTGCCGCTAACAAACCCAGATGTGTGTCCAGTACTGTGCGGAGGTCACGGCCGATATCTTCAGGGCAGCTGTCGATGTGAGACGGGATGGAAGGGTCCCGAATGTAACATCCGGGCCACCGATTGCGAGGTCAGCGATTGCAACGGTCACGGAAAGTGTGTGTCCGGTGTTTGCCATTGTTTGCCAGGATTTCGGGGCGACAACTGCGACATCGGTACGTGAAATATATGGGTCACACAAAAAAACTAATAATAATAATAATATTATGGCCATCAATGACACCATTATGTCAAATGTTAATAAATTAAGAGTTATTGAGATAATACAGACAAATGTTTGCATTGCATGACTATATCCACTCTCATTGAATAAAAAAGCAATAATAATAATAACATTATAATGTCTTCAATTTGTCTCAATTTAATTAATTATTTATTTGTTTAGAATTATATGATATTATATATATATATATATATATATATATATATACTGTTATAGTATTTATATTTATATATATTTAGTAACAAAAGGTCTATGATATATCACACGATAATATTTTAGATTTCTATTATATTTGATTATTTGATCGCTTAGTTGACAAACACACCAGTGATTAGTTTGATCCACAATTGGGTGGACATACACTACATTAGTACAGTACASTATATACCGTACAATACACGCAAACAATATCATTGTAGTATAAGTCGATCACAAGTAGATTGAAAAACAATTTTGATTACTATATATAAAAGGATTTGAGAAACCAATCGGTTATTTACAATATAAATGATGTTATAAATAAAAAAAAGGAAAGAAAGAAAATTTAGGTTTAATTTCATTTCCGGATAGAAATAAAAGAAATAATAGATAAAAAAACTAATAATTGTTTACTTTTAGAGGTCATAAATTCATTTTAATAGGTCTTTTCTATTATTTTACTATTATTACATATCGTTATAAATTTGTGGCCATTATTTAGTGTCACAATTGTTTATTTGACTTTTCTTTACTTTTCTTTCTACTTGTTTTTAATCTACAATATATATACTTAGAGTATTTGTTTTCACAATTTTTTTGTTGCTTTCAATTTATATTTACAATCAATTGGTTTAGTTAGTCTATATTTATATGTGTTTGAGAGTAAGAGGTTAGACTTTTAAAAATAAAGGGTATACCGTCGGGAAAAATATTGTGCCAATCGATTTGACATTAAACTTATAGACTTTTTTTCAATCTAATGATTTTGTTCACAAATATATTGTAAACCCCTTTTCCCAAATCTAGTATAATACTAATACACGTATTGTATAATATAGTATTATTATTATTATTAGTTTTATTATTAGTTTGGTTATACCTTTTAATTTACGTCAAGAGTGTTGTGAAACAATACACTAAAGAAAAGTAAAGAGAAAATGAAAAAAATAAAGACAAATAATAAATAAAAAAAGAAAAGAAAGAAATACTAAACAAATAACAGYAAAACAGTATAACTAAGCAAAAAAAGTCGACTAAACAATGTGTTTGTTAGCTATTGTTAGCTATCTCTGAGAGATGGATAGATAGACTGATAGATAGGCAAGAGATCTAAGCCTAGACTGAGACTTAAATCAGTGAAAAGCCAACTGAACTGTTGGKTTGAATGAAAACCTAAAACTGATTTCCAACTGATCTCTGATCTTATACTCAATATTAGTCTGATTTAAGAAAAAGCTAACCTTTTTTATTATTCATTAACTCTTTTGTTTTGTTTTTCTTTTTATCCTTAAATCTCATTACTATTGATTTTATTAATATTGTTTACCCCATTATTTTGTCTAATTTATTAATTATATTAAATAATTTAGTGGACTGTTTGGATCCATTATGTTCGGCTCACGGCGCCTGTATCGATGGCCAGTGCTGGTGCAAAGTTGGCTGGACTGGCGTCAATTGTACCGATGCTGACCAACGGTTGAGCCAATTTTTTCCCAATTGCTCGCAACACGGTATGTATTGAATCAATTCCATACTAACCACACCATCCAAACCCCTTTTCCCATTATCCAACAGTTCCTGTTCGAGGGTATAATATAATAATAAACACAATTTAATTTGTGACTCATTGAAGATATTAATGTTTAGATAACGGCACATCAAGTTAATCACTTTTGACGTTAAAATAATATACATAAATATAGTATAGTATAGTAAAAATATAGTATATTGAATAATATTAAAATTTTTGAATTACTTTCTGTTTRTTTATCTAACAATCTGTAAATGCAATTATCTGACAGTAAAATCACTTGCCTACCAGTCCATCACCACTACTACMAACACATTGATAACTAATTTTCCTTCAAACTTTCATTGATTATTATGAGATAATATTTGTCTCATATATATATATATATATATAGAGAGAGAGAGAGAGAGAGTATTGACGTTTTTGGCCACACATTTGTGCCATACATTTACTGTATAAGTTAGTCACTAAATTGTAGTAATAATACAATGTTAGGCCTCAAAACTTGTTAACTTTATTTGCCATTCATTTTCATTTAGCAATACTTTTCGTCTCATTATTTGATTAGTGAAACACAACATCACAACAACAATAGCACATCCATTATATTTATGGCTTTTTCTTTTAACAATATATAGACACAAACACATAGAAATACTTTTGTACCAAACTTTTCCTCTTTGCCCATCAAACACATACACACACACATAGTTGTACTCATTTATTAACTAACATTGCAATTGATTTTGACATATATGTGTTGTTGTATGTGACCCAACAAAATAGGTGTTTACGATTTGGACACTGGCAAGTGTGTCTGCTTTCCTCACTTTACTGGTATTAACTGTGATATTGGTAAGTAAAGCATCTATAAGTTATATATTAGGGAGAGAAAAAGGCATATTAATTTGGTGACAATCAATTTGTATGCCCTCCAAACACYATTATAATGTCTGTGCCCTCCCAGCCAATTGGCTAACACATCGACAACAATGACTAATAATGCTTTCAATATATATATAAATCACAATTAATAGCTAAATGTAATCTCGATTGCGGTGCTCATGGAGTCTGTGAGGGCGGCCGTTGTGTTTGCGACAATGGTTGGCACGGCTCCCGATGCGATGAGCAAACATGCGATCACCGGTGTCTGGAGCACGGCCAGTGCCATAATGGCACCTGTATATGCATACAGGGCTGGATGGGAAAACACTGTACATTAGGTATGTATGAGCTCACTCTCTCTTTTTTTCTTTCATTAAATGTAATTTTGACAATTGCTTTGACCGGAAAAGCAATATATTTGATGAGGAAATACCCATCAAATAAGTTAAATGCATTTTTCATGTTTTTGCTGACCATTTATATAACTTATGGTTTTTGGTGTAGACGGCTGTCCCAAAGGATGCTCAAGTCATGGCCAGTGTGTACAACGCAATGACGAATGGATGTGCCGTTGCAAAGAGGGTTGGGGCGGTCGAGACTGTTCGGCACCACAAGAGACCAACTGTGCCGACGATATTGACAACGATAATGGTTTGTATCGTCCAATCGATAACATGTCGTTAACTAATAAATAAGATATATTATCACTCATTTACATATATTATTCACTACCACGACATACCTGTTTATAAATTTTTAGACTCACATCGATTACATTATACTCCCCCTCCAATATAATTGTCATATTAATGAATTTATATTTATCATTAATTTTTACTTACCATATAATATATTATATATATACATATTCATATATTAAATTATATTCATTAAATTAATTACTATATGATTAATGTTATATATAAATCTATATAATATATGTATACATTTTTCTCTCTATTTTTCATTGTCTCACTTAATGCTCTCCCGTTCCCCACCACCTGACTGGACCTTTCCATATGAAAAAACAGATGGTTTATCTGATTGTGCGGACAGCGAGTGCTGCAGTACTGATCACTGGTAATCATAATAAGAGCTATTATATCACACACACACACATATATATATATACATACAATACACACACACATAACTACCTGAGCTCTAAGTTTTTCGTGTTTAGTGACAATAAGTTTCACAAAATTATATACTTATATATCAATATTTATATATTGAATAATTAGATTTTATTTTATGTTCTGTATTATTAGGCATTTTCCCTCTATTCCTCTCCAAACTTATTGTTTTTAATATTATTATACACTTATTATTTATTATGCAATTATAGCTAAGTATTAGTATTATTTATACATAAAATTTTTGCTTTTATTTTATGGCTTATTATCACATAAACATACAAAAATTTAAACTAAATTTATTATTTGAATTACATAAGAGAAACAAAAGAAAATAATTAATTTTATTACTCAAAAAAATTATTACTATTATTATCAATATTTTATTTTCATATTTTCAATCGCATTATAGTCATCAGTCGCTAATGTGTATCTCAAGTCCAGACCCGTTGGACATACTGTTACGCAAACAGCCGCCCGCAGTGACGGCCAGTTTTTATCAAAAAATGAAATTTTTGATTGAAGAGTCCAGTGTTCAAAGTTATGCCCATAAAGATGAATATTTTGAAAGGTAAGCACATGTATGTCTGACAGACAGGAACGGTAGCAATGAGTGAATATATATATAAACGGTGTGTRTATATATGTATACAATATTGTATATATATATACCATAATTACGGTATTACAAAATTTTTAATAATGATCACACATAATACACACAACAAATAGTATATTTATGGTTTTTTTTATTAAAAAATAAAGTTTAATTTATTTTCTTTATGATATTTAATTAATGGTTTTTTAAATAAAAAATTTTATTATTTAAATAATTTTCTATGAAAAAATATTATATAATTTAATTTTTTTTCTTAAAGTTATTTTAATCAAAATTTTTGGTACTATAAACTATAAAACATTTTAGTATTTTTATAAACATTTATTTTTATTTAAAATTAATTTATTTTATTATATAATGTTTTCTACATCAAGAAATTGTTTTATATAATATAAAACAAATTTTTGCTGTTTTTTAATGCTTAACTATCTACAGTATATTTATACCATAAAACATTATATACACATATATATATATAAATTTATAAAACATTATATTAAACATATATTAAATTATTTTACTGAATAACAACATTTCATGTCTAAACCATTGAATTTATGTATAAATTTTAAAAACCATAACAAAAAAACAAGCATTTCATGTGTACATAAAATTCTCATGAATTTTCTGCTGTTTTTTTCATTGTTTTCATATATACACCAAAAAACTGTTTTATTTTATGAATCATTAGATATCATATACAAGTACTCTATATATATATATTTATACAAAATGTTTATATAACCGCTTATATTATATTCAAGCACTACATTTCATATAAATCTAAAATGCTATTGAATAATAATAATGAAAAAATAATATAATAGTAAAACAATGAATAGGAAAATCATAAAACCGAATATAATGATAATATTTAAGAGTTTAGGAGATAATAATTTTTTTCCCAATAAAAAAACAATACATTAATAAAAGTGAAATATTTTCCTCACCTTTTAATATTCCCATCATTTTTTCACATTTATTATACATTTATATATATATATAATATTTATATGTGTTTCTCATTATATGTCATTTCAATTATTCATTCATTCATTCATTCATTCATTGTCTATGAATAATGTTTTATCAAATTTTTGTTGTTTTTTTTAGTTATTTATTCATTCATTCATCCAAACCATTAATTTTATGCACCGTATAAGCAATTACTATAAAAAAAACTACATTATTTTCCCTAAAAATACATCTAAAATTGAATATAAAAATTAAAACCATTTACACTCCCAATTGCAACTATTTTGTGGTGCATTTATTTATTTTTATTTTTAGCTCATTTCAATATATCACAATATTGAGCTGCATTATGTGTTTATCTAATTGTCGCAAATTTATAGCTTTTCAATTTATTTCATTCAATATTTCCTGCCTTTCCTCAATCCAACCCACCCTAATGTTTCCACATTACACAATAACCTCATGTTTTCACTTAATTGATAAATCATATATGATTCCTAAATTTTTTAAATGTTTTAATGTTATTTTTTATTTGTTTATTATTAATTTTCTTGTATAACAYTTAACAAATAAATGATATATTTATTTGATAATTCCTAACCTATTTAATCCCCTCCTCTAAACTGTCCACAACTTTTGATCCTCCATTCAAATTACGGGCAGTGTTGCCACTGTCCTGCCTATCAGTGCTTTTTTATAAAAGCATTTTTTCAATAACAAAATTTTTTTAACGTTTTATTTTAATGTATCAAATATAACAATATTTAAATTGCTTATTTSTAATACATGTTTCAAATAGCATTTAATACTGCTTTTGAATTTTAAAAAAATTGTTTAAATAATTTGTTTAAACAACAACAACAAAATTTTATGTTTTCTATAGTAGTTTTCATATACAAGTAATTTATGTTTTTTTGCTCATAAAAAATGTTACATATAATAGTGCCATATATTGCCATTTTTTTGTCATAAAAAAACTGCTAACTCCTCACTAAAAACATTAAACTATATGTATATAACATCTATTTTTATTGATATAATCTCGGCTTAAATTATATAAAAAGCCCTAATAAAAGGCACATCAGAAAACTTGTTTAGTAATACTTTTGTCTCATAAATGGCTAATTGAGTAATAAATATTTTATTGAGTATTAGTCCGTAAATTATAAAACATTATCACAGCTAATAACCTAAAGGTTTTTATTTTAATACAAAACCCTGTACTCTAAACCTTTTGCTTAATATATACTAATAATAATAATAATAATAATAATAATAATAATAATAATAATTACAAAAAACAACGACAACGACATCCTACAAACATAATGCAGCTTATATTAGACGATATTTTTATAATGAATAAAAAATATTATATTATATTATAATATGCATTTGTTGTGCAGTTTTATAATATAATCACTAGTCTATTGTCATCTAAACTTAATTAATTTAATAAACATCAATCAATTTAAATTGCACAAAACATTTGCAATTAGTCAAATTAGATTTTAGACAATATTCTACTTTATATTTATTTAATTTTATCTAGATAATTTTTTTGATAATTTATTTTTATTATAAAGTTTTTTATTTAATATAGTATTCTGTTYCTCATAAGTTTATCTTATTTTTTATTTTTGTTTAATTACTTATATTAGAGTTATTTATTTCGTTGGAAAAATAAAATCCCTGAAAATATTTTTTGTTTGTTATGATTTATCCAAACTAATCAATAATCCTAATATAAAACATAGAGTTTGAGTTTGCATTTGAACATAATTTGCTTTTATATAAAATTTTACCCAATTTAGAATTTACAACCCAATTTAGTTAACCCCCCTCCCCCCCCAAAAAAATATTATTTTTATTATTAGAGTGCCAATTAGTTAGTTAAAGGAATGGTAGTTTTATTAAATAACATATTACTTTACATTAAGATATATAAAAAAATATTTTTCATTCAATATATCAATAATAACTCGATTTTTTAAATAATAATAATAATCAAAATTATTGTTTTAATTATTATATACTAATTTATTATAATTTATATTCTTAGTAATATATTAGTATTTATTTTAATTATTGCTAAATTATTTTGTTCATAAATTATTTAAATTAGTAGATTAGTAGATTAGAAATATTATTAACTATTATTAAAATCAAATTAATTACCCAATTCTCAAAAAATAATTTTAACAAATGAAACAAAACTATATCTTCTTTATTATTATCTACCCGTGCAGTCTATTTTGGAGTGCCTTCAAACCAGGGTAAGTATCTATATGTACCCATAATTTTATAAATCCCGACCTTATATCCCATAGTAGTTAATTAACATTCAGAAAAAAATAGTTAAATAATTTTGTTTGATGTAGACAAAAATGAGAAAAAAATTAATAATTTTTCTGAAAATATAGTTGTATTGAAAAATTGTGAGCACCAGTCAAACATACCGTTCCTTTTGGTTGACAAGTTATGTTCCAATCGATAACTCCAACTCGATATACAAATATATAATATATATATATATATATATATATATATATATTCATAGCAAACAAAAATTGCTTTTTCGGGGGTTATATTGGTTTTTGTTTTTTATTTGCGATTTTTACTTTTGAGAAAAAAGGTTTTACTCTGGAGTTCAATGTCTGCTAAATAACTAAAACACTAGTTTAATATGTTTTTGGTTTATATATATATATATTGTGCAAACTTTGATATATATATATATCACTGCTGTGGCACTACAAATGCTGGACAGAAATGTTATACTCACTGATCGCTTACCTTATTTATATTGAGTTGTCTTTATATTTATATATTGAATATTGAATATATGCCAGTGCTATAACCATACATAACGAGAATACATTATATTATAGATATATACTGTAGTGATATGTATGTAAAGGGAAATACATTATCCATAAATCGATATATATGTTTGATTCTATCGATTTGATATTTTTTCATAAATCCTTTTTTGACCGATTTTACAGAAAGAATATTCTGTGATATATTTCATATGAAATATAAGCCTCTTATAGTTGTTTTATGACATCCATTAGTTTCAGAATATATTATCTTTTATTTTCATAAAAAAATATTTGTTGGATAATAATTAGTATTACCTTTTGGGGAATGTTTTATATACAATATTTAGTAATACTACTTAATAATAATAATAATAATGAAAAAAGTTTAGTGGGATTTCATGTTTTATAATGACATCAAATCCCGTATTAAAATTTGTCGATACATTAGTCGTTAACAATACATGTCTTTGTGTACATAATTTTTATTTCGTTAAAAAACAAAAAAAAAAGGAAAAATTGTTAACAATGCCTACAAAAAATTATATAATAAATTAAAGAGGAATTAGTACTACAAAAAAGTCGCGTAAAGTTGGATCATATAAAACAAAATAATATATTAATATTTATGTATATAATATTACTTTCTTAATTAGATGTCAGAAAAAATATTTTTATATATTCTGTATATATATATTGTTAGTTTTGTTGTCGTTTTCAATGTAATTCATGTAGAGTTATGAAAATAAGGGTTTACTTATTATATATGAAAAAAACTTCATACACTTGACAGTGGCATCACTGCCTACAATAAAAATAACCCAATTTTTTTATATGTTGACAATCTATTATTTTTAATTATTTTTTTCTGATTAAAACTTAATTTGAAATCATTTTTTTTTATAAATCATATTGATTCATACATGTGATTGTCTAAAAAAATTGCTTAAATATTAGTTAATTTWTATATATATATATATATATATTAAATTTGTGTATTTATATGTAAAAGCTGTATGTGTGCTACACAAAACACCAGATGCTTATGTATGTATGTTTGTATAGCTTATGTATAGCTTATATATGTACTCTCTATGTGTTTGTCTATACTGTGTGTGTATTCACTCACTTCCTCTCTTAATCTAATTTGATGTCTTATATAATGACATAATAAGACTGTCCTAACAAAAGTAATTTTCATTGTATTTATGGAAAAGTAAAATCTTTTGGCTTTTGTGTATCTATTATACCGGTATATACTGTAGTAGTATATGACAAGTAGTGTTTGACTTTATGTTAATTTCAATATTAGCCGACACTTGCATTTAATGCTGTCATTTAACAATTGAATGTCACTTTTACTGTATGTATGACTTTTCCTTATGCTTTATACACTCAAAATAATAGATAAATATATATTATTATATTTTAATTTTATTTCAATATCTCTAAAATGTATTCAATTTTCTAACGCTTTACTGAATGTCATATTATGTATGTATATATATAAACTGTATGTATTCATATCCTTACTATGTGTATGTATGTATGTATGTGTGTGTGCCAACTGCTGATAAGATGGCACACGTATTGTTGAGAGGACAGCCTTATCTGAATCCTCAAAATCTATTAGTTGTTGTGTCCCCTAATCTATGAATGTCACGAATATATATATATATACTATACTATGTGTCACTTTTTATGTGTTAKATATATAAGTTATGTTTTTCTCAAAAACTCCTCCAAATGTTATGTGTGTTTGTATATACATTATATGTGTTGTATTTGTATCTGTCTGTTAGTCCCCTCTGGATGTGTTCAATGTATTGAAGCAATCGATCCCATATATAAATCCTATTCCCTCCCAATATCTCTCTCTCTCTCTCTCTCTCTCTCTCTCTCTCTCTCTCTCTCTCTCTCTCTCTCTCTCTCTCTCTCTCTCTCTCTCTTTCAATATAACCCTCTCCTTATAGTCAGTACTACTGCTTTTGATTCCCTCTCTCGTGTTTCACCCGATATATTCTGTATTATACTGTTATATCAATACAGATAAAAACCCAAAACAACACATAACAACACAATTATATTCTCCTAATTCCCTGACTGCCCGCCCCCTCACATCCCAATCCATAAATATATACTCATCTTTCCTAAAACCTCATACACAGAATAAATAGAGATAAATCTCAATTAAATTCTTAAATACCGTTTCCCTAGAATATAGAATCCTATGAAAAACAATTACCTTTTCATAGTAGTGATGGTAATAATAATAATAATAGCATTAGTTGTAGTCTTAAAAACCTAACTAATAAAAACTGAAAATTAAGATAAACATATATAGATAGAGATATAATGAATAATAATAATTATAATATCAATAATAATATTTAAAAAAAATTAAATGCATTTTTAAATGAAATGTTGAGTGCTATTCATTGCTCCGTCTCAGTCAATATACATACAAACATAACAACACAACACACATGTATAACCATTGGTTTCACTTACTCTCTCTTTAATATAATACTATCTCTCTCTCTCAATAGTCTCTCTCTCTCTCCCTTTCCCAATGCATGATCTCCCCGTGCAAACTGTATTTGCCATTTATGACTGTAGTAGTGCAATCTAATAGTGAGCATGCAATACAATTCATTGACTATGCCTTGTGGTGCCAAATTTAAAAATATATTGTTTGCATTTTATCAATATAAAAAAGCGCAAAAATTGATTTTTGAGAAAAAATTTTAACCAAAAAAAAGTTTGCCTCAAAATAACATGTTTTAAGTAAAATAACATACAGTCTCTGATTAACACTGTCTCTCTCTCTCTCTCCATTCTTTGACGTAATGATTACAATGAGAAAAAATAGTTTACCTTAAGTTTATGTCATCACTACTACTACTACTACTTCTACTACTTATTGTAAACAGTCGTTTATATTGTGAATATAGCCGTAAAAATTGCTTACATTTACAAATTTTTTGCACCAATTTTTCCGCCACTCGAGTATTACTCTCTTTTTTCACTCTTAAGGCGCTCACAAATGCTTAAACATACTCTAAGGACTCTCTCCTTTACTTTCTAATTCTCTCTCTCTCTCTCTCTCTCTCTCTTTCTTTCTTTTTTTCTATCTGACCCTCTCTGAGGGCTATTAAAGTATATTTCAAATTAACTTAATGTACGACAACACCAAATATAGTAATAATAATAATAGTTATAATGTAATTCAGTGCTTGATATTTGAGATTTTCCAGTCTTATGCTATCATAAATTGTTGTCTAATACATACGGCTATTAATTCTAATAAATAACTAAAACAAAAAAAATTAGACGAAAAAACTTTATATATATATTATTGCAGAGCTCAGACAATTTTATCGCCATGAGCTTTGCATACATATACAGTATACCCTTTTTCACATTTGCTAATGACATAAATTTTTGTCCAGCAATGTCATACTGTTGTATGGGATTGAATGTTGACGTAATTGTATATTAGATATATTTAAATAATTGATGGCATTGTACTCCTATGTTTGCAATGTCAACAATTTAGACTACAATATAATATGGTTTTAGCGTCGGGAATGACTATCAATCTATCTTTGTCTCTATTAATGCATTAAAATTATATTTAAATATATGGATACCAATTGTCAAACACAACAATTTTTTATATTTATTTATTTCAAGAATATTCTTGTATTGAGACTTAACACAAGTCTTTTATTGCTCTCTCTCTCTCTCTCTCTCTCTCTCTCTCTCTCTCTCTCTCTCTCTCTCTCTCTCTCTCTCTCTCTCTCTCTCTCTCTGTTCTCTAAACTTTCTTAACTTTAACTTTCAAATCATTAGCTCAGCTGTACTTATAGTCCGTACTCCTGGACTTTCTGATAAAAATCGTGATTCAAAAAAAAAATTAAACTACAGTAACAGTTAGTTTGAAAAAGCAAAAAAAAAATTGTCATCAATTTGAGTTTAAATGTAATTTATCTTTTTTTATGTTCTCATTTTTGCCACTATTTTCTTCTAGTAGTCACTCTTTTTAAGTTTTTACTTCCAAATAGCAATAGTAGTCACCATTTCTTACATAAAATAGTTTCATAAAACCCTAACAAATAAACATAACTAATACCATACTTTATATGTATCTCTTTTCCTCTAAAATGTGTGGTGTCTTCACATAACAGTCGTGTATCAGTAATACGAGGACAAGTCATTAGCCGAGAAGGCAATGGTCTTATTGGGATTCGTGTTAGTGTTGCCACTGATCCACAATTTGGGTTTACTCTCACGCGAGGAGACGGATGGTATGAATTTCTAATAAACTTGAATTACATTTTATGACCAAAAAATAGTCTTAAAGGATATATACTATTCATTCAAATTATTTATTTTTTTATACTAAATCTTATGTAACACCGAAACCATTGGTCGTCGACTTTATTGATGTTATCTTCAAAATCTACTTATGTGTGGCCAACTTTGCTAACATCACCAACGCCTACTACTCATACTACTACTACTACTACTACTACTACTACTATCACTACTATTTTATTATATATTTGTGAACTATTTCTGGACCTATGTTTTTGCTACTATAATACCAATTTACAGGTTTGACATACTAGTCAACGGTGGCGGTGCTATTGTCCTACAGTTCCAGCGAAATCCTTTTCATCCCATTAAGAGGACAATACTGGTGCCATGGAATGACATTATTGTAATGTTGAATCCGGTTGTCATGTCATCGGCGCCGACAGATGACAAGGATAGCCAGCATACAGATCCTCTTAATACAGGTTCGCATCAAATATAAAGACTATATTTATTTATTATATGTGCAGTCAATACTTGACATGAATAGTGATGTGTTGTTTGACTTTTGTTTATCTTTTATATTATAAGTCACTTATGGGAAATGCTATACCAGTAGTATTACATCAAAATGTCATAACATATCAAATAACTTATTATTGTTAGATATTAATAGTCTATTATTATTTAATAAAATCATTATTTTAGTCACAGACTAACAACAATAACAACTATATTTCAATTGTCTTCATATTTATATAGGTATTGGTATTATGATCAGTGATCGCAAACGTAATCAAAGTCTATGGCACTGTCGCGACCACGACTACGATGTGATGAAACCGTTACTTCACGAAACACTGCGTCCGGGAGCTCAGGGAGGATGCACTGAGAAAAGTGCTGTTATTGCTGAAACTCAGGTCCGATCAAAATAAACACAATAATTTTTTTATATATAAATATCTAATCAAAATTTTAGACATGACTTGATTTAAAGCAAAGTTAGCAATAAATATACTGACAATTTTGTGTTTTATTTATTTTTTTGGTAATGTTTTGCTTTGAAAATAAAATATCAATTTCTATGATATGTGAGAAACCCTTTGATTTAATGTGTCTTAACGTATAAACTTATAAGTAATACATTAAAAGTGCACTTTATATTTCCAGTTTGTTTTTTTCCTCTGTTTGTGAAACAAATAAATATATAAAAAAAAATAAAAACAATTGCAGTAAATCTTATTGTGATTTATGGCCTCAATTTCAGACACCGTAAACCAAAACCAAATCAAACATACAAAAGTTCACATAAATTTTTCATCTAATTTTATTTTTTATTTATATATATATATATAAAGTTTATATAATATAACATATACAGTATATATATTGTTTTCCCAATACAACTCTATATGTGAAAATATTTTTGAAATTTTAATTTTTCACTTAAATTGTATTGTGTACTGTATTTTATAGCCCATGTATCTTTTACAGTATAAAATATAACTGCTTTTTGATACAACTCCCAGTCCTGCAATTGTTACTAAAAAATAAACAAAATAAAATTTATAACTCAATTTCATACATATATTCTGATTTTTTATGAATTTTGTTTTGAATTAAACGCATCACTTAACAGGTTCTTCAAGAAAGTCTGGCCATACCGGGCTCGCACCTACACCTGGTCTATCATAGCAGCTATAGTCAAGGCTATCTATCGACCATCAATGTACAGTTGACACCGTCGACAATACCAAAAACTTTACGATTGGTTTACTTACGTATCATTATTGAGGGCATACTATTTGAGAAGACCTTTGAGGCCGATCCAGACATCAAATACACCTATTCCTGGAATAAGAGGAATATCTATAAACAAAAAGTTTATGGCATTACTACTGCCAAAGGTATTGACAGAAAAAACAAACAAAACGATAATCGATTTCATAGGAAATTAATTTTTGTTTCATTTGTTTTTTTTTTCATTTATTTTATTTTGTTTCTAAAAAACAATGATTTCATGAATTAATCAAATGATTTGTTTGTAGTTGACTTTTGATTGATTTTTTTGTTTTATTTTCATTTTATATAGTGTTTGTTGGCTATGTCTACAAAGATTGTAAGCAAACTATATGGACAGCCCTATCGACTACACTTCGTGGCTATGATATGGATATATCGGAGTTGGGCTCATGGAATCTGGATATACATCACAGATACAACTTTCATGAGGGGGTCCTCCAGAAAGGCGACGGAACCACCGTTTTCTTTAAGCAACAGCCAAGAGTTATATCAGTATTAATGGGCAACGGTTTGCCCCGTAATATCATTTGCGGCAAAGAGTGCAATGGTTTGGCACGAGATAATCGACTAATGGCACCGATAGCATTGGCCAGTGGTCCCGATGGCAGTGTCTATGTGGGTGACGCTAATCTCATTAGACGGATAACCGCTGACAAACAAGTCTACACTGTCTATAAACACAAATCTCTTCGACCCTCATATCAGTACCACATAATGTTGAGTCCAATCGACGGTCATCTCTATATATCTGATCCGGAAAAGCATCAGATTTTGCGACTTCATTCGTTAGATAAGGTGGACGATCCTGAAAACAATTTGGATGTAGTGGTAGGAAACGGTGATCGATGTTTTCCGCACGACCCGCTCAAGTGTGGTGACGGCAAACCAGCGCCTGAGGCTCGGCTTATCTATCCCAAGGGTATGGCTTTTGGTACAGACGGTGCACTCTATTTTGCCGACGGAAACAGTATACGTATGGTTGACAATCAGGGTATCATTCATACGATTATCGGTGATCGCAATCATCAGAAACAATGGAAACCTATTCCATGCAAAGGAACTCTTGCTGTAAATGAGGTCTGTTTTTAGGGTGAAATCATTGCAAAACAATAATACTTATTGTTTACCATTTAATTGATTGACAATTCAATTATATTATCTAAAAATTATTTATCTTTTAATTAATTATCAGATCAAACTTCATTGGCCAACACATGTTGCCATTAATCCATTGGAAGGAACTTTATATTTTATTGACGACCATATGGTTATGAAGTTGACACCCGACCGTCGAGTTATGATAGTGGCCGGAATGCCTGCCTATTGTAAAATACCTGACTTTAGCAATCAAACCAATAGCCGAATAACAGATGAAATTGGATTTTTCGCTAACTTTGCTTTTGGACCGACAGGTAATTTCAGTTATTATTTCATTGGTGATTGAAGTCCTAATACTAATTAATATTATTATTTATGTCCGAACAGGTATTTTATATATTACGGAAGTGTCCGGCGATGGTGTCAATAGAGTACGTGCTCTTACACACGATACAGAGCTCATACACTTTGCCGGCAAAAAAGCCAACACAAGACACTCGTGTCCGGTAGAAATGTGTCGCGATGTCGGCGCTCACAACTGTACCTGTGCTCTGCCAACATTGTCGTCAATAACACAACCGCCCAATGAGTTTGAGGTACGGCATCTGTTTTTTAAATAGATATTTTATTTAACTCTATACGTGAAATAGTTAATTCATAAAATATGCTTAAATACAGACTATTAGTATAATTATGTTTGAGATTGATTTTTTATATATAGATTTATATATATATATATTCTTTGATTAATTTGTTAAATTAAATTATTAAAAAAATATTTTGCCACTTATTCATAATATAAATTTGAATACATTTGAATTATTTATGGAGTATTTAATTTTAATAAATTATTTATATATACATATTTTTTAATGTGTATATATTTTTTAAAATTAGGTAATATATTATTAGCTTTAAATTGATAGCAATTTTTAAGTTATTTAAAAAAATAATTAAATAAAATGTTAGTCTTCATTGGTTGTAAATTCTTCTGTCTCTTGTCTACTGATATTAAGATTTCTGAAATATTGTTGAATATCATGAGTAATATTGTCGATGTCTAACCATATTTTCTTAAACCAATTGCTTGCTTTGATTTTATCGATTGAAAATCTATTGTTTTCGTTCACAAGTATATTATTAAGCAATTCCTGACATTCAATAGACACTTGAGGAGCACTGGGAATATCGATGAAGTGGTCATTATTTTTGTAAAACTTTTCCAATTCCTGTCCATCATTAGGAAAGAAACCAAAAAGCATAACATATAGAACAATACCGGAGCTCCTGAAAGACAAATAGCAAAATTTAATTGAATTATTTGTTTCAATAACCTGTATATAAATGTTTTGTAAAGAATAATCATTAATTTAATCATTTATTATTTTTTTTGTACCAAATGTCAGCTTTTGTTGGCAGATAAGGTTGTTGTCTAAGTATTTCTGGTGAGGCATAGATAACACTGCCGACAAATGTCTCGCTAAGACATTCTTCATGAGTGACATTAGTCATCAGATTTTTGTCGACATTGAAACCGGTATTATTATTATTATACTCAAGTCGACAACAGAAACCAAAGTCAATTATTTTGATATCAAACCTATTATTGAGTAACAAATTCTCGCATTTGATATCCCGGTGCGCGARACCGTTTCTATGTATGTGCTCTAAACCGTCGATAATTTGCTTATACCAGCGACACGACAGTCCTTCAGGAATATTATGATGTGTTTGGATGTACTCAAAAAGGTCTCCATTGGGATAATAGTCCATTACTTCGCAAATTCTTTAATGAAAGATTTAGTGATAATTAAAAAAACACAAAAATAGTCAACTATTTTGGTTGTTTCAGATTTTTGTGGGTAAATTCAATAGTAATTATCTTACAAATTACAGTCAGTTAGGTCTATGATCTCATAAATTTTGCATACATTTCGGTGATCGCTAAGTGCTCTCAATAGATCTAATTCTACTTTTAAGAATTGATGTCTATATTGTTGTGTCAATCGACACAAATCGACGACTTTGATGGCGACAACTTGTTTGTCATGTTTGTCGGACTGTACTGTATATACATTTCCATGAGATCCGCGTCCAATCTCAGCTAAACTATTATAGCCATTATCTTTGAGAGTCTTCATAAGTTTGTCATTAGCTAAGCACAGATCTTCTTGACTATTGACCGATGTTTCTGTCGTCCCATTATTTATCCACTTTATTGCTGACTCTTTATTGTTGTTATTATTATCGTATTCTTCCTTATTATGACTAAAATCTGATGGTTTGGTCGTATTTGTAATAATACTCAACAATCTATTATCACTATCGGAACTCATCTGATATCTTACTATATCTTTATCACTTGCAATCATATATTACTATTTTATTTACTCATAAATATTTTCAAATATATCAAACACACTGTAGAATAATATAGTTTTTATAAATATAATAGTAAATATCAAATTTAGAGATTTCACGCGATATTAACTAATTTTTTCCAATTATTATCTATTTATTTGTATAAAAAACAGGAAAAGACTGTACTATTGGCGCGCGACACACGACTCGTGTCTATCACTGCCTTAACACTGACCAGCAATGGTGTCCTCCATATGGCCGACGCCGGTAATCTACGAATTCTGTCAGCCGTGCCTTATATCCCGCAACCGGACGAACAGTTTGAGTTTCAGATTGCGTTTCCCGACGGCCAGGAAATGTATATATTTAATAAGTACGGTCAGCACACTGTGACCAAAAGTATAATCACTGGCCGCACTCTTTATACATTTTTATATAACGTGAACACGAGCTTCGGTAAACTCAGTGCCGTAACCGATGCCTCCGGCAATAAAGTGTCGTTTCTAAGAGACTCAGTCAATAGTCTACACACTATTGAGACAACCAGAGGCCAAAAGTGTCGGGTGTTGACAAACAAACAGGGCTTCTTAGAGCAGTTCATCAGTCCCGACAATATGACCACAAAGTTTACTTATGATCCGTCGGGACTTATGGTTTCGAGATCGGACTCAGCCGGTCATTCATTCTTCTATTTTTACGACCACAGCGGACGACTAGTGCGATACGTTCGACCGACAGGACTGTCCACTGAATTGAAATTTGATTTCAATCAAAACGGAGCACTCGTTAAGACAGTTGACTTGTCGGCGTCGGAATCGCCGATACAAACTCATACTACTATTGTGAAAGTTAGGGGCGAGTCGTTCAACATTTACGAGAACGGCATTGAGTTGAAGACTTTTATCCATTTGGACGGTTCGGTCGAAGTGGAGAGTCCGTGGAAAGAGACCATCTATTGGGAGGCACAGCCACACAAAGTGTTGCTATCGTATCTTCCAGTCCAGGCCGGTATGTTTCCTGTCCTTATGAGACAAACACTCATGACTGAGAGTAATCAGAAACCATGGATTGGTTGGGATTATGATGTGAAGTACAATCGTAGGTCTGAAAAGGATAAGAATATAGCGGCTGTCGAAAGGATTCTTGTTATCAACGAAACGCAATTCTTGTCCGTCGAGTACGACTGGATTGCAAACCGAGAGATACTGTATAACAACTCTCGTCGGCCGTTCCTCTTTGTCCAATACGACGACTCTTCCCGTCCCGTCCAGTGGTTACCTAAAGAAAGTCGTTTGCCGTTGAATATGATGTACGACCGATTCGGTCGACTGTCCGGTTGGCAAGAGGGCCAACACTCAGAGACATACAGTTATGATCGTATGGGACATCTGTCGGAGATTCGGTTTTCCGACGCAACGAGTGTGAAGAACAGCTATGAAGATGGAAGAATGTCGCCGACAAAGGTTGTCCTGCGAAGTGGTCGCAAATATCTTTATACTTATGACGGAAACGGTGGTCTTCGGACAATAACAACACCCAAAGGCAGTAGACATGCGTTTCTTTTGGAGATATCGTTGGGTTTCTATAAGTTGGTGTATACGACACCAAATAATATTAATTATGTGATATATTTAGACGCCGAGCACCGGCCTATTATGAAAACCTATCCGAACGATTCGGGAAAACTGCTTTACGTATACAACAATAGGTCGCAACTCCGCGAGATTGTCTACGGCGCCGGAAAAGTTGAACGATTCTACCATAAAGTGACCGGACTATTAATAAGAGAGCTCTGGACCTATGATGACCAGCAAATGGCTCTCATCTATGAACATACCGGTGCTCTGCTTTCCAAACAGATGCACCAATTTGTTAGCTCATACTTGTTGTCAAACTTAGTGTTTAGCTATCAATACGACTCGTTTGGACGCTTGAAACTATTGTCCACACGAGTCGGTTCCGTAAGTCTTCCACACATTGATTATGCCTATCATCCGCGCACCGGCCGTCTGGAGGCGATCGGCAACTTTCGTATACACGACAAGTCCCAGAACGAGACTTTCTTGACAGACGGCACGGCCACCTATTCTAAGGCTTTCGACGCTTCACACTATTTGTTGCAGTCATCGCTGGTCATTGCCGACAAAGAAGTGTTTCGTATGGATCTGTCGTATAATTCAAACGGTGCGCTGATCCAGTCAAAGACATTTATGCGACATTTGGGTGCCAGTAAAGTGCGCGTTCAAAACTATACCTACGATTACGACCAGCAGCTGACCGAAGTGACCGGTCGGGACCACTGGAAGTTCCAGTACGACGACAACTCCAATCTGGCGACAATGCAATACATGGGTAATCGCATTGACATTCTCTACGACGCCGGCGACCGAATTACCAGTTTTGGTGAAACGCCGTATATAATGGACGCCAAAGGGTTTGTCATACAAAGAGGTGAAGAAAAGTTTACGTTCAATACGTTGGGACAACTGATGAGAGCTAACCGGCCGTCGCGTTATGACGTGAAATATATGTATGATCCGCGCGGACGGCTTACTGTCCGCAAAGACAGCTATGGAAATGTGACTCAATATTTTTACGGCGATATTACGCGACCTAATCTGGTTACGCATACGTTTAACAACGCTGACGCTCGTGTGACCACAATTATATACGATGCCGAAAATGTGCCGGTTATGACACAGGTAGGTTTTTAGGACTGCCTCATAATATGTAAATTGAACCAACAATTATTAATAAATGTATTTCTTAGGTAAATCACGAAGTGTTTTATATCGCATGCGACCAAATACAAAGTCCATTGTTAGTACTCGACCATAGAGGGGAAGTGGTCAAAGAGGTACACCGCGGCCCGTATGGACACGTCCTGTTCGACTCGAATCCAGCCTTTTATTTGGCGGTTGATTTTCAGGGCGGTATTCCCGACCCGTTGACAGGCCTTATTCATTTCAGTGATAACCGAGTGTACGACTCGCTTGTGGGCCAATGGTTGTCACCCGATTGGGATCAGCTCCTATCGACTCCCAATAAACCGCAATCATTGCACGCATACCGGTTCAACCGTAACGATCCCATCAATGCACCGACGGATGAACGCTGGAATATGTTGGACCTAAACAAATGGATCCAAAATCAGGGCATCGAGTTATCGGCCTTTGACATCGGTTTGCAGAGTATTTTCAGCAGAGATCGACACACCAGCGACCAACTGTCCTCTGCCTTAAAGTCAATACCAAAAGTAACTGTTCCCGCGTTGCCTATTGTATCGGGTTTTGCCTGTGGATTGCAAAGAATACTCAATAACTTCGGAATGATCTCCAGTCTCGACAAATCAAAAGTAATTGAACTAAAGTAAAGATATATGTGAACCATAAGCGACTAATTGTTTTTATCGATATTTAAATTTAGGTCAAATCTGAGGATCTTTTTGAGTCAATACAAACCAATAAGATTTCCAGTGAGAGCGTGCCTTTTGGTCACGGCATCAGTATATCGCGTGTTAGCGGACACGCAGTCGTGCACTCGACCTCCGACGCCGACCCGATTCGCAAAGACGTGTTCACACAGATATTGAACAACTCATACCTACTGAACGTCCATTTTGTGATCCACGGCAACGATGTCTTCTATTTTGTGAAAAACAATACGTGGAGAGTGGCCGACGATCTGACTCAACTGCAAAGACTCAGTAATCATGTGAACCAAACGGTACACGAAAGCAAAACCGAAGACCAGAAGGGATCGGGACATCAGGTGGACGTTAGAATACATATACAGAACTATATACTGAACATACGATACGGTACGACACCGGATCGGGAGAGGCATCGAGTGCTGAGACATGCAAAGAAACACGCAATTGGCCAGCGATGGGCTCAGGAAAGGGAACTGTTGGCCAACAATCGCGACAGTAGTACAGTATCGAAATGGTCTGAAGCCGAAAAGGAACTCCTATTAACCACCGGTTTGGTGCCGGGAGTTAAAGGCGACTACAATCACGACCCCAGTGTCTATCCAGAGCTGGCCGACGATCCGTCAAATATTGTGTTTCACAAACCAAACAAATTAAAGCCAATACCTAATGAGTCTTAATTAATAAATAATAATAAACTATAGTTAAAAATTAAAAGGATATTACTTTTTATGATTATATAAATAGTATATTGTATTTAATTATTAAATGTAATATAAATATATATATAATGTTTTTGACTATTAATAAGCTATATATATATAAAAAAATGTTTTTATATATTTATTTATTATTGATGAGAAAATTATTTGTAAATGTTTTTACTATAATATTAATACTATTGTATTTATAAATCAAATGTGTATTATATGATAAATTGAGCTCATTTTTTTAAAAATCTATAATTTTAAGTACTAATTATATTATACAGTAAATATATATATCATTGAATCATTAAATGTAATAAATTTCAATTTAATCATTATTAAAAAAAACAATTATACCTAATTTGTTGTTTCATAATATTAACATAATTGTTAATTAAATTATTAACTTATAGAAAATAAATTAGTAAATATTTAAACAAACAATAGTTATTTTATAAAAGTTAATTAATATAGTTTATAACTATTTTTCAATAAAATAGTAACATAAATTATAATCATTATTTTATCATTATGACCAAGCATAAATTAAATCAAGTTTAATGTAAAGTATAATAATAGTAATAATAATATATTTTAATAAAATAGATTTTTATTAAAATAGTTAAATTAATAATTTTAACTTAACTTTAATATCAATTTTAATTATTAATAATATTAAATAATTTACATTTAATTACCGGTTAATACATAGTAATAGAAAAAAATATAATGAAAATGAATAAGTAATGAGAAATCCAAACATAATTATAATTATAATTCATTTAAATTAAACAATTAATTGAAATCTGTGTTCAATAATAATAATCAAATGTAATATCAATGTGTTTGGTCAGTGTTAGCCACTATTGTTGGCATTAATTTCCCGATTTTTGCTATCAATGGCCAATTGTCTTAAGCAATCTCTTCGGGCCATTAGTTCAGTGATCTGTTTCTCGAGTAAATGATTTTGAGTCCGAAGTTCTTCGGCCGCAACAGTCAATTGTCTGTTCCGTTCGGATGCCTTCTCACGACATCTTTTGGTCGATTCGTTATTCTTTCGTCTCTTTTCCCGATATTCATCTGAAGACGTGTCCATTACTTCCGATTTTGATAACAAATATTAAGACAAAAAACAAAACAAAAATATTTTGTATTAAAAAAAAAATTAAATGAGTTTTTAATATCAATAAAATACACTAACTTTTGTTCACAAACAACGTATTCACAAATTTGAATGATTTGATGATATGATTATAATTTGGTATTTATTTAATAAATTATAAATATATTGCATTTTTTATAAAAAAAAAATTATATCAAACATTCAAAAAACAAACATTTAACATAAAAAATAATAATAATTTATTGTTTTGTGTATTTTTTTGTTTGTTTAACTAATAGTCTATAATTGTATTTAATTTATACATACTTTACAATCAAATTATATGTAACAATGTTTACGAGTCATCCATACAATTGTTATTATAATACAAAACATTTGAATACAGTATTTATATTAATATAATATGAGTTAAGTTTAGTAACAATTGTTGTGACGTAATGTCAGTGCCTTTTAGTTCACAAAACAAACACATTATGACCGACATTACGATGGACTGCAACGGCATCGGCGGTAATGATGGACAACAAGCTATGGATACGAGTGGTGACCGAAATGACATGATTACCAACAATAACGAAACGATTTCAGACGCGATTGACATCAATGACAGACCACTTTGTCGACTGCGAAGGTATTTGTTATTTGGCTGCGAAAACAATGTTGTCCTCAGCTTTCGGTATTCGTCGTTAACGGCGTATCTGGACTTTGGTCACAACGGACTGAAGAGTGTACCGAAACAACGGACACTGCAATGTGTGGACAGTTTGTGGCGATCGGTAGAAAAGTTAGATTTTGAGAAACAAAAGTCAATGTCTAAAGAGATTCACGATGTGATCAACGATTGTTTACCACATTTAAGACCCAATTGTTTTCCACGTCTTTTATGGTCTCTATTCAAGTGTCAGAATCCTGACGCCGAGCAGAGGTCACCGTTGCGGTCGTTGGCCTACACTTTGTTTCGCAAACCATACATACACTCAACCGATGTATTACTTTTTGCATCACTCGTTGGCCGACAAACTATCAATAGTTCGCATCAATTGAGACATCTTTTTAAGCAATACTACGACAATGAAGTCGACGATAAACTCATTGAAGAAAGTCTAGTGTTTGGTAATCAATTTGGTCGGTATTGTTGTCGGGCGTCACCGATAACGACAAACTATGATTTATATCTCTTGTATTATATCTTTTAATCATTTGATTTGATTTATCATTCAATAGGTTGGACTCATAAAGATATTATTAAATTGTGTCATTTTAAGACCAATTCGGTGACAATGCCTTTGTTTCGGTACAAGAATATGCCTGAAAATGTTGAGCCGACACCTGTCGAGAAACGGTTGGCTGTCTTGCGGTCCACTAAATCGAAATTACACGAAATAGTCAGTACTTTGGACGACACACTACTTGAGCCGAACTGTTGGTTTCGGGCGCTAAACACTATTTGGCGAAAGGATTCGATAATTTGGCGAAAACTTATCGAAAGTCTGGCCGACGACCGATTGCTTCAGACTATTCCTCATATTATCATCAAATTTCCGAACAGTCATCGATTATTTGAAGACATTATTCTACGTCTTCAGCGAAAAGAAACTAAATTGACGTCAAATTTCCTCAAAAATATTGTATTTTATTTGTGTCAACACAAATACAATGAGTGCCAGAATTACGGATTGACACAAAAAACACGACTTCTCCATCAAATGACAACAACATTGCAAAGGTTGACAATTCCTAAACAAATCGACGACGAAATTGTAGTGATATTTGACAAGAATATCGATTTTAACCGTCCATTTCTGTTCGGTTTGGAGAAGAAAAATCGCATTCGACCGGATCTGTTGGACCAAATGATGATCAAAGATTTTATATATATTTTGTTGAATTCATTCAACTGTTTTGTGCCAATCAATGGTCAATTGCAAAACATATTGTTTGTCAATACGACTGCCAGTAGTGGACAGTACGATACACTGGAATATCCATTCATTGATATGAATGTAAATTGGAAAAGACGAGTCATTTTTGTGACAAACATTCAACAGGACTATAATGAATGGACTGATAATTTGGATAACAAATTGATTATTATTCATATAAATAGTATTGAATTCGTCAAAATTGGTTCATATCAACCAAACGGTTTGTCATTTTATATTTTTATTTTTCTTACATAATATAAGTATAGTCTGTAAAAATGTGTGTTTAATTTTGTTTAATTTTTATTTTTTTAATATACTATACGGTATATATATATTTTTATACACAGTTCTAGTGCTAAATGGTTTTGACGTGAAATGGGAGTCATATATATCCAACTTTTTCAACTTACATATCAAATAATTACAAGTAAAGTGCCAAATGTTTAGCCGTAATAAATGCCATTTACAGTGCCATTTGAGTCACATAATTACCAAAATTATATATTTATCTCATAATTACACTAATTATAGCTTTTTGAAATAATATATTTATATATTTTGTATTTTTAAAACATAATATCTGGTTTAACATATAATTTTGCAATCAATTTACCGTACGGTAATTTTGTTGTTGTTATATGTTGTTACATTTTTTTAAAAATGTTTACTATTTATAGTTATTTTGAATATTACCGATAATTGTAATAGAAGTTGTCATTACTGTTAAAATAATGATTGTTTGTGACAATCTATTGACATACCAAACACCCGGATAACTGTCACGTCAATCACTAATCAATTGTCTTAACGCAGAGCATAACGTTTTTTTTTTGAATTTTTTTCTGTTTTACACTTGTGTGTCAAATATTATGAGTTTTCAACTTCTATCGATGAGGACATCCATTATCATTTTTTTTGCTTCAATAAGCAAAACATTTTTATAACATTACGTTATAGTTTTGGATAAATTACAGTAACTGAATCTATTGTATGTTTTTGCTTAGTATTTATGATATTTATTATTAATCATATCAATGAAAAAACTAAAGAATTTAAAAATATTGTATTTAAAGACAACAATTATAGTCTTATTAAAAGTGATGTTTAATTATTTTATAGAACAATAATTATTTGTGATATCAATTGTTTATTTTTTATACTAACTTTAATATTGTATATGTAAAAGCCATTTATCATACTTATCCATATAAATTTACTATATGTTTTTTTTGCTTATTGTGTAATATTTTATATCAATATTATTTTATTACAATTATTGTATGACATATTGCTAATTGTATTTAGTAATAATAATACTATTATTTATTAAGATTGTTATTGGATTAAATAAAATTTTTCTTTTTTCCAAATCACAAAAAATTATTAGCTTTTTGGGACTCCTTTGTAACCGTTATAACAATTACCGTAAGTATATATATACTATAAGACACTTGAATTATATACAATATATATTTTATATCGTAAATGTCATTATATTATAGTATAGTCCAATACTATACTATAGTAAAGTATTTAATAAATTGCAATAAGATTAACTACATTTTTTGTTTTGTTTATTTAACCATAAAATAATAAGTATAGCTAAATAATCAAGCTAAATAAGATTTCAATTTAAAATATATATATATATATATATTGATTGATAAAAATATAAATTGTGTCAAAACAAATAAGAAATATCTAAAAAATGTATTTTTTTATCAAAATATTTTGTTTTTTATATCATTCATTTATTTGATTACTGTAAAATATAAAAATGAAAATTATAAATTTAGTAGTAGTATTAGTAAACAAGAAAAATAATCAATATGTTTATATGATAATTATATTTTATAGCGTCAGAAATGTTTAAATATCATATTTTATTATTATTAGTGTATTTAAGGAAACATACTTAAAAGTTATTATAAAGCAGTTTTGATATTTTATAAGTAAATTACTAGTATTACATTAATTTATGTTTAACATAAATTTTATTATTTTTACTGAAATACATTAACGGTTAATAACAGCCTCAACAGTATATAATTTATATAACATAATTTATATATATTATAACGATAATAATAATAATAAAAATATATATAACAGATAGGTATTGCCGTAATATTAAACGTTATAAATATAAATATAAAGTCTTCATATTATCGATTAACGGCCCTCCGGTTGGCGTAACGTTTGCCGCATAATATGCGTCGAAAACCGTTCCGGAAATCGGGACTAAAAATTTATAACCAAATTATTTAAGAGATTAGAAAAAGTTTTTTATGGTTTTTTCGCCAATAAAAGTCGTTATATAACAAACTTTTATAATAACGAATTTTTGTCTAAATATTTATACCTGAATATGGTATATATGATGGGATTAAGCAATGAATTGAGATAACCTAACCACAGTATACCACTGACCACATACTTGTTTGGCTCCATTGACGGGTATATAGGCATCAGTACGGCCAACACGAAGAATGGCGCCCAACATATGACAAATACACCTAATATTCAAGTAATGAGGGGTTTTAGGGCACAGGGAGGGAGAGAGAGAGAGAACAGACATACCAATCAATCAAACAGTTTGTGTCACACAATCGCGAGCTTTTTTCTGGTGTAAACTCCTCTGATTGTTAGTCATTAATTTGATTGCTTTTACTTGCAATACAATTATTTTTTTTGTGTGTAATTATTATGATTATTATGATTACCTGTAATTATAGCTAATGTTTTGGCCGCTTTTCGCTCTCTTTTCGATTCTAATGACTCTCTATTTCCCACTTTTTTTAGTGACTTGAGTTGGGTTTCGATATTTGAAATGTTTTTATGATTTTGTTGACCGGTAGGACTGGCCAGTGGTGACGGCCTAATGCTCGGACTTTTATTGGCACCGTTTGTTGTGACGTTAGTTATCCTATTAGGACTTAAATTTTCTTTAATTTGTTTTAGCTCTATATCGGTGGTCATATCATCGGAGTTAATGGTAACCATATCGTCATTAATACAATTGATATTCTGTGTGGAAGGACTGGGAGCTAATAGTCGCGGTGTCTGCAGATTACTGATAGGTCGCACCGTTAGTTTACCCGGTTTTCTTCTTATCCGTTTTCTAGCAACCTATAAGGTGTTCGTCAAATAATGACAAATAATTACTATTTCATGTCTAACTAAATATAGTCTAATATGAAAATATTGTTGTTGTTGTGATTTATGTTATTATTTATTACTATTATAATATATTGAATGACATTTCTATTTATGTCTTCACACATATAGACAAACAAATGTATTCATTAAGAGTACTTCAATTGCTTCATAACATGAATATCTCTCTAATAAATTCAAATCTCTTTTTGCAAACGAATTAATAAATAATAATTTGTTTGACATAAATAGCTCTTATAAACTAAAAGTTCATAAGTTTTTCTCCTAATTATGACTATCGGCAGACAAATACTCATCTAATAGATGTTTGCTTAAGGCTTTACATCTCTCTCTCTCTCTCTCTTTCTATCATTTATTCACTTACTTATATACTCTAAAATAATTACCTTAAATATATTGCTACTTAACATTCGCCTTTTAATAAGTACTAACTTGATTTTTTCATTACACATTTGCAGTTTTAGCAAAAAAAAATGTAATTATTTTTTTCTTAATAAATTTTAATACATTTTTCAAATGTTTCCTAAAATTTTTAATTTTTATATAACATATATTAAATGTAGTTTTTTTTGCAAAAATATTTACTAGATTCATAAATACTGTTTTATACTTAAAAATTATTCGGTCGCTTACGATATAAAAATTTATATTTTATTGTTTAACTAGAAATGTAAAAACGATCTAAAAATTATAATATATTTTATGAGTTGAAAAATAAAACTATGTATGATTAGTATTATTTTTGTATAATTTAGTTATTTGTAATTTATATTCATCTTAATTGCAACATTTTCTATTTATAATATGATAAAAACATATAATTTAATATTTTAGTAAAATATTTGGTATTAATTTATAAGACTGCAATGATATTCAAGATAACCAAATAAATTTAAACAGTTTCTGTAATTTTAGTAAAATATTTTAAATAAAACATTGCTGTTATATATTAAAATTTCAAACTGTCAAATTTTTAATGGTAATATTATTTATAATTTTCTATTGTTTCTATAATAAAATAATTTTTTTTAATTGTATTAAAAATAAGGTTGTTAAATATAACTTAATAACTACGCCTACTATTGTAAATATAAATTAAATATTTATTATTTATAAATAATTATGAATTGTAAAAAATATATATTGTAAATATTTATATAGATTATTTACAGTAAATGTAATATAACTTTTAATTTTTTGAATAATATACAATTTGCTGTACATTTGTTTAGTCTAATCATACAAATGATATCATATGAATATAAAACGAATCTAATTATAAATTTATATTTTAGTAATTTATATATTATTATTATTATATATATAAATCATTATTGTTATATAATTTTATTTTCAATGTATTTCAAATTAATGGGTCTTTGAGCTCAAAGCCGCTGTCATTTCTAATAGAGTTAACAAAGATATCACAAATAGAAATGCTATGAAAATTATAACTTATCATATAATAGGCATTAATTTTATTTATATATATTATACTATTTTCAAGAGTTTGTTAAAATTAATAATGTTTTTTATTGAAAAATTTATTTTTATATAATTTATTATTATTAAAGAATATATACTATTTATAATATGATGATTTATAATGAGTACTGACTCATATAAGTATATAAATAAGATATACTGTATATATATATATTTTATATAAGGTATTATATTTTGATCTAAATATATATGTATGTAAATTAAATCAAAATTAAAAAATATCTTTTGAGTCAAAAAAAATTTGATAACAATTGAAGTGCAAAAAACATCCCAACAATGTTTGTCACCAAACAATTTATAAATTTTCTAAATATTAAGCCAATAAATACCTGAAATATTTTCCAATAGAGCGCTAATATGAAGACAAGTGGACCATAAAATGTAGCGATTGTGGCAAATATCTGATAACCAATATCTTGCGATATTAGACATCGTTTTTCATTTTCAATTCTGGCCACAAAATCCGGATCTTTCCAACCGAACTGCGGCACAACCGATACGATGGCCGCAACCGACCAAATAATGACAATCATAAGTCCGATGCGACGGGCATTTCGTTGGTGTATATAATCGACGTTAGTTACGGCCCAATAACGATCCTATTCATATCATTTATATAACATATATATATATAGATTTATTTATTTATATATATATTTATTCATTTAGTTGTATTATATGTTGTGGCAGTTATTTTATCGTTTGGATTTTAACCAAACATATTATAGTATGTATTGGTTTATAAGCCAATCCATTGTCGGAAACCGAAAAACAAAACAATGAAAGTGAGAAATAAATGGAAATACTATTTCATTAGTAGTTAAATAAGTGGCAAATAATGTTTTTAGCTAACTGTTCCCTTAAATATAATATGATACATACTGTTTCTCGCTTATGTGTTATGGGTTGTCTACACTAATAGCCAAAGCGATTGACTAATGGATTGGATCAACATTTGTTGAACAATTGGGCAAATTTAGCTAATATGATATCTACGATAGTATAACAATGATTGCCAAACAAGTTTTATTAATAGATACTATTTAATGGATAATAATTATAATATTTTGAAAATACACGTTTATTGCAACACATAATAAGTTATATTATGTTATAGTTAATGAAATGTTTTTTCAACATAAAAATAACCTGTGGTATATATTTGATATATATAGATATATATAAATAGCTATTATTAAGAGATAATGCATTTTTTAAATAAATAAAATGAACTTCAAAAAATATATTAAGTATATACTGTATATATATATACTGTATATTCTTGCGCAACATAATAAAATCAATCAAAAATATTTTTATATTGAAAAATTTCGATTAAACTGATTTTTTTAGTATTCAATGCAATTTTCAATGTTTTGTCATGTATTGAGATATATAACCTATAATATAGTACATACAAACTATGTGTACGTTATTTCATTTAAAATTATATATCATATTATTTTTATACTTTATATTTATAAAATGTATCGTATAGTATATGAATATGAAAATTGTGTAAAAATAAGACAGAAATATATACATATTATATATCAGTACATTATTTACTATTTTTTATTTGTATAAATTGTATATAAAAAATATAAGCAAAATGTATAAATAGAATATATTTCTATAAAAATACAAATAAAATATTCTTTTAAAAATGTCAATTATATACAGCCATTAATGCATTATAAGTACAATAAATATATTCATATATTTTTTAGTTTTATGAATGTGTCATAACATTGGCCTAAAGCTCTTTAACATAACATAACACAACACAACAAATATAATCACATGAATTTTGTCACACATTTTTGTTTGCTATATATCAACAAATAATTTTATATTCACAACATAGTAGTTATCTATGCAATAAATAGTATAGACTATAGAGTATATTTTTTTGCTTAAATTTTAATCAAAAATATACTGTATCAACAACACAACAACAATGTATATAATTAGATAGATTACTATGCAAATTAATTTACTTGAAATATAAAAAAAATAAAATAAAATTGATAGTGATTAGCGTTAATATTTAAAGGCACAAAACGTATCAAATTATATATAATAATAAGCTATTTATGCAAAAGTAAAACTGTGCACTGGTTTTGATAACTTATTACAAATTATTATTATTATTATATAACAAAATATATTGCAAAACTACTTATTAATTGCATGCCTTCCCACTCAGCAGTTAATTAGAAAGTCAACGATATTTTTAATGACTACTATTTAGTCTCTCTCTCTCTCTCTTATGTTATGTTAGTTTTTTTGTTACACAAAATGTTTAGTGTGTTTAATATCATATGAAAGTCGGAGATAAAACATATAATATACAGTATATATATATACTTATACTGTATATATAAAATACTGTACAATACTAGTAGTTATCACTGGTAGTTAACTCTCATTAACTGTCAGAGTGTCGACACCCAATTTGCATCACATTTGTTATCAATTGGCTCTCATTTATTTATTCACTTAATATTTAAGTGCTTTCATAAATTTTGTATAAACAATAGATGTTGTGTAAAGTAATTTAGAGAAAGAAACAAAAAATAGTTGAAATTTATTTTTTATTGATTAACTTATTTTCTTCTTCATTATTACTGTAATAATGTTAAACTTTAGTTTCTAATTTTTTTTCAATAAACTATTTTTATAGTAAATGATAAAATAATCATTTATGTTTTGTTATTTTTTGTTAATGTTCTAAAAGTATCAACGAGGGATATTAAATTGTTTTTTTTAAATAAAGAAATACTGTACTTATTAAACAATTTTCAAAATAAAATCTTGTAATGAATTTATTTATTGTATAGTTTTGTTTTTTATTACTAATGTATTGAATTATTAATACTGCAAAATCTAACAAACTCTTATTTCAATATAGTTTATTTAATTTTAATTATTAAGAATCACTTTAACTTATTTAATAATATAATTAAGTATGTAATTATAAAATTTTAACTAATTTATGATTATTTTGTTTTTTAAGTTAAATAATTTTGTTTTTTAAGTTAAATAATTTTGTTTTTTAAGTTAAATAATTTTATTTTTTAAAACTTATTCAATTTCAATTTATTCATTAGCAATATAAAGTAGTTTTTAAAAACATATTACGAAATATATTATAGTAATGTAATAAAATATAAAATCATCATGATCAAATAAACTATTACTAATAAACTTTAGTTTAACTCTCTTTACATTCAACCATAGATCAAATCCACTGGCACACTGTGGAAGTTAGCAATGTTATACAGTAAAGTCATAGCAATAGGCGCTGCAACTATTATACATATAAAGTCAATTTGCATGTATAAGTTAGGGGAAATCTATCGGTGCTTATATGTTTGATGTATGCACTCAACTACATTCATACTATACTCTCATAGGCCACTCATTTATTTAACTAACATATACTTATAAATTTAAATAATAGTAAACTCTTGTTATGCGCCTTTAATTTAACTTATTTGTAAAATAGTTTATAGATGTTATAGTTTGATCTATAGTTATAGCATTATTACTATTTCTATTTGAAACAATTTACTGTACTGTATGTTGAAATGTATGTGTTTTTATAATTTTTATAAATTAAATACGTAAAACTTTTTTTCAGAGATTGTATTATTATTTCAAATATCTGTTAACCGTTTGATTTATCCAATTCATTAAAAATTTTAATATTATTTTTGTGTAAAAAATATTTGTTAACTAATTTATTGTTTGTTCAATATATAAAAATAAATTTAAAAATAAAATTAGATTAAAATTTTACAATAAAAGTACATTTAAATTTTAAATTTATCTTTTAGATTATAATTTTAATGTATAAATATTTAATTTTTTTATTATCCTTGTTTTATAAAGTATTAATATAACTGTAAACAAAAACAGTTTGATATCAATATTAAGTAAAACAATATAGAATACTATTGTTTGAAATTTGAATTTATACTTATAATTTTGTTTTGATAGTCAACTGATGTTTGATAAAGTAATGTTAAACTTTGTTTTCATATGACATCCTTTTTTTATTTTTAAACAGTAATACTGTCTCTCTTTAATATATGATAAAAACAGATATCACTATCAATAATATTTTGTGTTAAATTTGAGAGACGTTTTTATTAAAGAATCCATTGATTTGAAAACAAATTCCGATTCTTTAGATTCTGTCATATATTTGATACAAAAATATTCAGTAATACTTGATATCAATTGATAAAAATATTTTGTTTTTATTTGCAATCTAAGTATATATACTAGTATTTTAAAAGAATATATTGTCTGAATACACTATATTGTAATATCTTAAAAGTAATTGAAGGCTCTTTAGATATTATATTATTAAATATAGAAAAATAATTTTTATAATAAATAGAGAAAAAAAGACTAAACTTTGTATTTTAGATGATTAAATTCTATATATATATATATATATATATATATATATGTATATATGTATCTTAGTCAAACTATATCTTTTATTGTTATGTTAATAATTTTAATTGTAATGTTGTAAACATACACAACTATTTAATTTACTACAATAAATGTGATTTAATAATTTATAAATTAAACAAAAATATTAATAATAAACATAATTATTTTAAAAACATTTAAATTATTTATAATTTTTTTAATTACAAACAAATTTAAAAAAAATTAAATATTCATTTTTAGATTAAAATATATAACTAAGTTACTTTATATTATAGGTTATTTAACAATATTAAATTATATTATTATACATTATTATACTGTATTATTAAATAATTTATAACTCATATTTAATACATTAAAAAATATATCTAATATATTATATATGTGCACTCTAAGCTAAATGATTAAGTTACTAAATAAAAATCTTTTCATAATAATAGTTATATTATACTGTATTAATATAATACAGTAATCTTTCTAATAAAAAAAAAATCTAATAGAATCCAATATATTTTTATCAAAAAAAGTCAGTATTATATATAATAATAATAATAATAATAATAATAATAATAATAATAATAAATTTTTAACATAGATTTAAAAAAGCATTCTTTATAATATGAAAGTAGGGTTGTCAACTATTTATATTGTTAGGAATATTCTTGATTTGTATTCTATAAATAGTATATATTTTATAACTAAGTAAATACATTGTCTAGCATTAAATTTTAAAATAGTTTTAAAAATTAAATTTTATATTTAATAATATTATTAAAAATAAAATATTGTGATATATATAAAATTACAAGATTCTAATTAATAATTATGAATTAAATTATATTCAAATCAATATTATACTGATAAATAATGGTAGTTATAAATTATAAGTTTAATCTAATATTGACAAGTTTTTAAACTTGTAAAATAAAATGATAAATATTTTTTTTAAATAAAATTTGTCAATTGTTAGTCTATTTTTAATATTTAACATTTATAATAACAAAAATACTTGAATTATATTAAATAAGTTGGCAACCTTATATATAATGCATTCATTCACATTTATTCATTTGATGCCAATTATAATTTCCAACTCAATACACACATTGCTTAAAGTAATTTTTATTTTATTTAGTTTTATAAATGAAAAATGACTCCATTATTAAAAGTCTATTAAGAGTTATTATATTTTTAAAAATCATTATTTTATTATTATTGTTAAAAAACTATATTTTTCATAGACTTTATACTTTCGACTGAATTTTTTTTTAATTGATTTTGTCATGTATTGAAATTCTATTTTTCAAGTTTTCAATGAACTTTTATTCAAAAAAAATATTAATTTTATAAAAGTATCATTTTATTATAATAATGTTCTTTCATATTTTTACACAAAAAATTCTATTCAAAATAAGAAAATGTAAAATTCAAAATTAATACAAATTATATTATTATTATTATACTATTTAAATAAAAAAGTTGTCAACATTTTTTAGTTATTACACTAAAATAGATACTAAAAAATATTAATAATAATCATATACTGTATAAAAAAATTTCTAAAGTAAAAAAAATAGTTAAATTATATATTAGTTGATAAATTTTTTAAATAAATTAATTTGTAAGCAAAATAGATTGCTCAATATTATTATTTTAAGATTATTTATTTATTATTTTAATAATTTTGTTTATTTTAAAAATTCGCAATATTTAAATTCACAATAATATATATTATTTATAGAAACGATGCTATTTTTAAATGAAATAAATTTATTAAATCAAACATAACTTTTAAAAAACATTATCAAAACATTTTTATATCAATATAATATAAGGAAATCAAAATTCAGTGCATACATGAAATCTATACATAATATGGCATAATATTACTGTATAATAAAACTTAACAACAATTTGATTAATGATTGTTGTGTACAATATTTGATAGATATATTTCACAACAATAATCAAACTGTATGTATGTATGTGTGTGTAGTGTATAATAAATAATATTTTATTGAATATACAAAATACGGTATATTATAATATAAAGCAATAAGAGTTTTATAGATTTATTTCAAATCAAAAAGCGATAGTGATTTTCAATAATGTTGTTTTACACTAGAGTGACCAAATTATACATTATGATAATAATAAACATTTTTAAACAAAATATTTAATTGTTTTCTAAATATAAATTATTTATAATCAAATATTTAAAATTATTTGATAAAAGTTGGTAATTTAAAATGCTAAAAATATAAATTGTAATTAATATAATAGCTTTAACTTAAACATAAATTATTTGGTCAGTATACTTTTTCATATGTAATAAAATAATATAATAAGTTTGTAGTCAAAAGTTTATTTTGATATTCAAAACGTGTTCAATGTTTGTAAAGTTTTCCTTTTAAAATATTGATAGTTGTGTGCAATTTTCAATAGCAAACATTCATATCTTTATTTTTATTTTATTTTTTTTGAAAAATATGTTTCTAAATTTATAATATAGTTTTTATAAATCATTTTTTCTAGTATGTAATATAAATTTATGTATATTATTATTATTATTATTGGATAAACACAACAATATTTTTATATTGTAAAAATATAAAAATATTTCTATATATTATATATATATTACATTACTGTATATTACACACACAAAGTATATCATAAATATTATAACAATATTTTGTTGCATTAAATTTTTTTTGAAGAAATTCACATTTTAGTAATATTTATGCAAATCTATTGCCACATAAAAAAAATGTTTGCAGACCACTAATTTTATAATATTAACATTAACATACTCATCTTCAAAATAAAATATTATATACATGATATACACTAACATTATACTGTATTTTTTAAAAAAAATATTGTATTTATAAATGCCATATAGAAAACTACATGTAAAATGATAAGTGATTTCAACCAAAACCAGTTAAGAATGCTAGAAAGCATTTTCAGAAAAAAAACTTGAATAACATTGAAAACTATTAGTTTTATAATTATAGCCGCTATATAATAATATAAAAATTTAAAAACTGGTCAAATATACATAATATAAATATTGTAATGTATGGTATCAAATGATTCAGTATGACAAAATAAACAACTATAGTCATGTGGGGTATATGATTTAGTATAACAAAATAATAATCTATAATTATACATTTGCCGCTTATACTTATTCTTTTTGTTCCCGTAGATATCAAAATTTAATGCATATTTTCTATCCTTGTTTTTGATGCTATATTTAAAAAAAAATTTTTATATTTTTTATATTTTTGCCGCCATTTAAAAAAATATACTGATATATTATATCATATTTTTGATACTCTTTACAATTCTAAACGTTAAAATTTTTACCTAATTTTTTTTTAATTTTCTTTATGTTCCCGAAGAGATATCAAAATTTTAATGTATATTTCTTATGCTTGTTTTTGATGCTTTATTCAAATCTATACTTAAAAAAATTTTTCTTAAAATTTTTTTTACTTTGGCCGCCATTTTGTCTATGTTCCCGAAGAGATATCAAAATTTTAATTAAACTTTTCAATACATTATTAGTAGTCCTCTAACCGAATCTGAAGTCAGAATTTCAAAATTCGCAAAATGAAATGCTACACACACAGACACAAAAGGCTCGTATAGATTTCAGAAAACAAAACTTTTCAAGTTTTTTTTGAAAATAATACCAATAATAATAAAAGTAAGCTAAACTTAACAGTATATATTTTTTACATATAAATGCTATAAAATGTATGATCTTTAGTGTAATTGTGTCGGAAAAAGCAATTGTGTGTTAGTGTGTGCTATCTATTGTGTCATTTATTTTATTACTAAAACTTGATTTCATTTTATATACAATAAATGCATCGAAAGTTACATGAAAATAACGAAAGAGAGAAAGATATATATATATATATATATATATATAAATCAATACATACGATAGCAATGGCCAATAGGTGTAAAATACTGGCCGTACAGCACAACACGTCGAGTACTGTCCATAGTTCGCACAGCACGCGACCCATTGTCCATTGTTGGGTCACTTCGGACACTGCGCCCAATGGCATCACCAAACACGACACCATTAGGTCGGCCACTGCCAGCGATAGCACCAAATAGTTGGCTACTGTTCTCAGGTTACGCTCCATTAATACCGCCGCTATGACAAACACGTTACCGATAACAGTGGTCAGCGTCAGTATACCCAACAATACCGACACTATCACTATAAACATGGTTTCATGTGTCAGTTCATAATGGTGTTGGTCATCATTGTTCATATCAAATATTAGTGTGTCGTTGATATCATTGGCATCGATACCGATACCGATACCGACACCAACACTGATATCAGTACCGATACCACTATTGAATGTTGTGTTGAATATAGGCTGTGTTAACACAATTATATCGTCTACACTTGATATGAGCATAGTTGTCGTAGTTGTTGTTGTATTAGTAGCACTAGTAGCTGATGTACTATTGTTATGATGATTATTAGATAATATAATTTTGTTGGTTGTATTGTTATAACTATTGTTACTATTATTATTACTTTTATTATTATTATTATAGTTGAGAGAATCGTCAGTTGTATTATCAAATGGATAGTTATAGTCCAATACTAACCGTTTGCTTATGTTATATATATTATAAATGTTATATGGATTCATACTGTAATTGTTTGATATGTGTTGTTATTTTTCTGGCATCCCTTTCCACTTGAATTTCTTATCCGTTAGTCATATATTTTATTTATCTGTCGATTCTCTCATACAATTCATATATATATATATATATATATTAACTTTTGGTTCCTATACACTGTATATATTAATATATAAAGTATAGTATACTGTATATCTGTATTTGGCTTTAATATATTATATTTTCTCAATATCTATTTATGTATAGTATATATACTTATTATACATTATATATATACATATATAAATTATATAGAGAATAATAATAATAATAATGGATTGTTATATTATATATGACTTATTACTGTATGCCTTCCAACTGTGTTATAAACAAAACACAGAGAGAAATGAGATGAACTAACCATCCATTGGATTGCAATAAATATGAAGTCATAAGAAAATAAAAACAACAATTAAAACAGACATTTGGTGTTCATTTTTTGTTACTGTTCGCTACGTATAACACAGTTATGTTTTATTTGCACACAAATAATAATAATAATAATAACAATAAAAATGTTAGACAAAAATATTATTACACACAGACATTAAGTTTTACATCAAATATATATAACTTTATATATATAATATTATATATAAATAAATACAGAATATTCGTTCGCCGAGTAATAGCAGTATTTGTAAGTTGTGTTAAAGCGATGAATAACTGTACGAAAAATTAAAAAATAAATAAATATTTTATATGAATGTGCGTTGAATGTTATGATATGATTCACTCGCATAACAGTAAAACAAATAAAACTTATATTTTTACTACATTAACATTACAATACATAACAGATATTATCAGTATTAAAATATTTTAGCGAAAAACTTTCATCTCAATTTAGTTTATATATAGTATATATAAAAACCATTTACAATGTCTATCTGAATATATATACATACTCTATATATTGTATAATATCAGTATATATATGGTATACAATACAATACAGTTACAATACAATATTGTTATATTAAGCACAGGGAGTTTAGATATTGTTTTCTACTGTATTTTAGATGGGGTTTCTCTTTGTGTATGTTATTTAATTCATTGACAGTTAATTAAGTGTCGATTTGTTTGGCATCCGCCCACAAATTAATTATTACTAAATCATTTATGATATAAAGTATATACAATAAATAAAGTAAATGTATGACTTTTGATAGCTATAGAAAAAAATAAGACAACTCACAATACTTTCATGTTTTATATTACACTATACTGTAACTGTATATATGATTATTGATGACATTTACCATTTTTAGTCGACACAACAAGACTAACCATTTTGTTAGCCCTTATATCTTGTTATTATTATTATTATTATTATTATTATTGTCTCTGTTGTTATTGTGCCAAATGATACAAACAGTTAAACCAAATGTCGCTTTTGTTAGTAAAATAGATGACATCTTTAGGTATCTCATTGTCATCTACAACATAGTAATGATTTAATAAAAAATATAAATAAGAAAAAATTAGCAAAATTTTTTTATCATATATATATATATTTTATTTCATTTTATTACCATTTCTATCATTCATAAATATATTGATAAAACAAAAATAATCTTTATAAATATATTGTACATTAATGATAATAGTTACCACAAAAATGTTTGCATCGAAATATAATTATGAAAATATAATACTTAGTTATAATATTATTAATTATTACATAATTAGTACTTTAATTGTATTCTTTAGACAATTAATAAACAAAATGTTAAGCTTATAATATAAAATTTATATTTAATTTATTACACTAATTAGATATTTTAATACTTTTTGCCCAATTTTGCTACTATTTAAAAATCATTTTTAATGCACAAATAAATTAAAATTTGAAAAATCATATATTTTGAAAAAATTATTTTTTAAATTTTCATATATATTAAATATAAGTTTATTTTTACATCAATATATAAATTGTATACTTATACATTTTTCATAAATATTATTAGCATAGATGTTTTTTAATAAGTTATGATAAAATAATATTTTTTGTTATAAATACATATTTTTTTAAGTTTAGTACATTAATATAAAATGTTTGTGACATAAATCATACTATGAAATAAAACATATTACTAAACTAATATTACAAATTACAACTGTGTATTTTAAATATATATATAATTTTTATAGACTACAATTTTTAATTATCGATACAATATTAAAAATTTTTAACGAAAAAATAAAATAAAATTATCTCAGATTAATTGTATATTGTTATAACTAATATATTGTCATATTTTGATACAATACCCTTAAGTCTATTTTTTTATCTATTGTCAAATTGTATTAATTATTTTTTTTGTCACAATAGTGAACATTTGGTAAATTGCTCAAGGGTAATTTATGACACATAAATTTGAGTTAACTTTTATTTATTAACTTAGTTGAAAACAGTAATGTTAGACAGGTTTATTTAATAGTAAATTTATTGTAATGTTAACTATTATTTTCACATCAAATAACTAAGTAAATAAACATAAATTAAATAAAAAGAAAATAATATCTTTATTGAAATATTATAATCGATTTAATTGTAATTAAACGCTAATATTATAGACTTATAAAAAATAGAGTCAATAGAGTCAAACTAATTTTCACACCCACTCATAAAATATTGTTCATATATTCTATACTATTAGTTCATTAAAAATAGTTAACTTTAATTTAAGTTAAACTATTTTTATATACCGGTAAAGTTAATATATATATTATATTATAAAATATTATAATATATATATGATTTTTATATTTCCTATTTAAAAACAATTAACAGTTAGTCTTAAATTAGATAATGGGTAATAAACCTAAAACCTCATATTAAAATAGATATTAATTTTTTCATCAATGTTAACGTAAATTTCATATTAAATTATCTACAATTTAATGAAAAAGATATATAAATATACACTATATTTAAATAAATAGAATGTTTAATTTCGATTAAAAATAATACTATTTTTATATGAAATTATAATATTAATAAAATTTAATAAAATTTTTAAAAGTTTAATTACAACTTATCGGTTAATGTCAAAATGAAATTTTATTATTAATATAATAATTATTTAATTCATAAATATTTTATTTTTCATTAACTAATTATACCAGTGTAATTAAATAAAATAAAATTTGTTTTGTATATACTAAATAAATGAATGAATAAATGAAAAAAATAAATGTAAATAATACAGTATATATTGATATATAATTTTATATATATTATATCAATGATATTAAGGATACTAAATGAAAATTTACAAAAAGAGTACATTTAATAGAGTAGATGATAACCTATGAGTGCAAACTGGACTTTTTAATAATTAAATTAATAATTATTATTAATAGTGATAGTGATAATATTTTTTAGTAAATATATATATAACAAATATTTTTTTTTACTAATAATTACTATTATTTACTTTTTTAATAAATATTAAATACTATGCTATTTGTTAACATCGTGAAAAATAACGATAATAATTTAATATTACATCATTCAATCTTATTGAAATGTTATTTTTAAAAAATATTTAAAAATGTCAAAATATTGAACTTAATTTCCTTAATTTATTGTACTTTTTAAATAAATTTAAGTTTAATATATGCTTTTTAATTTTATATCAGATTTTATTTGAATAAATTTTTTTTTGTTTAAATTTATTTTTAATTTTGAGAAATTTAGAAGTAAATAAATTAATATTCCTAGATATTGAAATAATTATTAATAAATACTAACTCTATTTTAGTTTAAAATATTAACTTATTAATAAAATTTTATAAGAAAAATAATTTTAAAAAAGAAGTAATTTTTTATTTTTTTAAAATAATTTTTTTTATACTTTATGTCGGACTTGTATCTAAAAAGGAGTAAAAATACTCCCGACGGGAGTACATTTGGCAACCCTAATTTATACTGAATATTATAATTTATGTAAAGAAATCTAATAAAATTAATTTTTATATTATAAATTTATTTGTATAATTTTAAAAATTTAAAAATTTTATTCAATAAATAACGTTTAATTTTTAAGAAAAAATGTTATATAACATAATTTTAATAACTGATATAAAACATACAATATTTATCTATAATTATAACAATTAATTAATTTATGTATAAATTAAGTAAATTTTTATAATATTACAGATTTTTAATAATAATTATTAATTTTTAATTAAAAAACTATATAAATTATTTATACTTAATATTAGTAATTAAAAATCTCTATAAATTAATATTTATGAATAAATTATTAGTAATAATTATGTTTCCACTAATGATGAAAATATTTATTATATATTTATATAATAACATAAATGTCTGATTAGCAATAATTGAAGTTAAGTTGATTAGCGGCACAAATACGTTATTAACAAATGTTTTTGTTGATTATAATTATTTTATATTAATTAATTTTATATAAAAATAAAAGTTAGTTTATGAAAGATTTTTGTTGTTAAAGTTATTTACTTTGTTAGTTAAAATAAATAATAAGCTAAATAATATAATTATTAATTAATCAAAATAATAAGCAACTCAACTAAATATTAAAAACAACAATTTAACAATATTATAAAGTTATATACAGTTTATCTATTAAA